ATCCAAGATGATTTTGCTCGGTTACAAGTCAGTGCACAATTTTTCCTTGATAAGAATGTGGATGTTTTGTTCCATTCTATTAAGACCGAGATGATTTTCCCGATTCAATCAGTGTGTACCTTGGCCGGCACATATTTCGTGGTTAAAAGAAGAACCACAACACACATGGCAAGAATGCAAGAGAAGTGGGAAATACTTTTCATTGATTCAGATTGTAATTACAAGAGTTGGGCAAGAAGACCGGTTACAAGAGTGCAAAAAAAAAAAAAAAAAAGCAATGCAAGTCTAATCTAGGCTAAGGGGGAGAGGTCAATGAAGTCATCTCCAGCCCCCTTTGCGATGGCTTCCAGGGCGACCACAGCAGTCATTCCTTTGCCGCTGGGCTCCTCTACTCCTTGGTGACTCCTACCTGTTTGGTATAATTGTCCTCAGCCTCCTTGAAACCGAGATCGCTGGCTTCGTCCACATCTTTCTGCCTGGCCTTCTTCAGCTCTTCCAGCTCGGCGCGTAGAGCATCTCTTTCCTGCTCGACGGTACCAAGCTAGCTGAACAACTTGGAGTTGCCTACATTGGTCATCTCCAGCGAGGACTTGGACCGCCCTAGCTCGGTGTCTAGATGTTTAGCCAGGTTGGAGACATCGATTACTTTCTGCCGAAGCCTGTGAATCCGGTCCATGACAAGGTGTTGTTTCTGGATAGCCTGCAAGGGAGCAGAGTGAGGTTAGCTCAAATAAGAAACTAACCAAGATAACACTTGAAAAAATTTCCAAATTCTTACCCTGGTCATAGACTTGACTGCAGACTTCACCAGGTAGGTGTCAAGCACGTGATCACTGCCGGTGATATCGCTTGGCAGAAGCAATGCCTTCGACAAATCGTTGGCCAAGAGATGCTCTTTGTCTCCCTTAATCGAAGCATTGATTGGGATATCCTTACCCCGGTGCTTCAACTCCGGTCGCCATAGGGGTGTTGGTTCAAAACCCTCCGCCGGCTGCTCGGTGCTCAACTCGACAATGAGATCAGCCATGGGATCGGTGGAGCAAGCCCTCTTTCCAGCTCGGTGACTTTCTTTGTCGGCTTGTGCTCCGGCAGTTGAGGCCAGGGCAATCATGGTCCCAGATGTTTGACCAGTAGTGGGGGCAGGAGAGGAAATGCTCGGCACCTCAGTGGATGTGGCAGCGATGAGATTCTTAATTCGGCTCCATTTGGCCATTTCTTGCTCCTCGGTTAACCGAATTAAGGGCACATTCGGAAGTGTTGGATCAGGAGGCGGAGAGGCCGCCTACAGAAAATCTGTGACCTTGCTCCTACGGGGAGCTGAGTAGCAGTAGCTCGGTACGTAACCGAGAAGTTCGTGGCAATCTCGGTGCTGGTATCTCAGCGCGGCCCTGATCGCCTCTTCGTTCAAATATTGGTAGTTGGCTTGTAACTCTTCGATAGCTGCAAAATGAAGACAATTAGCTCGGCACAATTAATATTGACAGAATAAATCAGTCAAAAAGATGGGCTTACAAGAAGAACCAAAGTTCTTACTGATGTACCAACCAAGCACATCAGCTGTTTCGTAGTTACCAGACACCCAGAAGAAATCGTCATCGTGCATGTCCTTGTCCGACGTGCCGGTCACTAATCGCTCTCTGCCCGATCTTATTTTCAAATAATAGTTGAAACCATCTTTCGTTCTACCGACTGTGTATTGATGCAGGATATCGGCCAGGCCCAGATTTAGAACAAGTCAGTGGTTTAACTCGATCACTCCATTTATGATCCTAGAGGTGTTGGTGGATACTTGTGTTAGAGTGAGCTCGGTGCATCTCAGGAACTCGCAGATCAAGGGTTGCACAAGAAACCGCAGTCCGCCCCTCTACTATGCTCAGCATGGTGAAGGAGCAAGAGTCCAACCTACCCTATGGATTTATGTCCTCCTCACCGAGTTCCAACTGCACGTCGGCCGGGATGTCGTACTCTTCACGGAATGCGGCCTGCACACCCGGTGTGTTAACTAGGAAGCGGTATCACCCTATGGAGAGGCCGGCTTGTTTAGCGTGATAGTGTTAAAATTGGCAAAGTATTGCACGATGGCTGCTCGGTCTTTGAGAGTCCTGGTGTTGGTGTGCCTAGTCACCTAGGACTTTGCAATTAAAAACCAAGTGTAAGTGGAAGTGCGGTCACACAGGTGAGCTTGATTTTAGCTCGGTCACATCAAGCGTTCTCGACAGCTTGGTCTATTGGTTATCTCGGTGGTGCAAGCAGGCCAGATATTAGCCTGGTCACACAACCGAGTATCCGGTGTACCGATTTTCCTCCCCCACCACTCCGCGAACAACGAATTCACCTGGTTGGCTAGCTCTTTCAAATTGAAAACGTGTTTCAAGCCCGGCCGAACCCAGATCCTCATCTGTTCATCGTCTCCTATGATGAACAAGTGGAGACTAGGGGCACTTGGGCCTTAAAATATCAAAAAAAAAATGATGTAAAAACCTAATCATATTCCCTTTGTGGTTTGATTTGGGTGTTTTTGACTCCCTTCATGAATGACTGTGAGAGTTGGGGTTCGAAAAATTAAATAAATACCAAGAGAAAGGAAAAAAGGTATGGGAGAGAGAAGAACTTACGGGTTGATGCACAAATCGAAGCCCCCGGTTGATGGGACACTCTGCAATGGCGACGGCGAGCTCTACTTCACCAGGAAAATGCTTAGGAATGGGTAGATGACGCAGGGGGCAAGATTTGGGTGTGTTTACACTCTGACTAGTCTATGGCGGAGACGGTAAATAGTGGAGACGAAGGGTTGGCTCAGGAAGGATGTATATGGAAGAAGAGGGGGCGCTAAAAATTTGAATTCGAGGTGACGGCGTGTGACGATTGGGTTAGCTGCACGAGGCCAATGAATAGAAGACACGTGTCTGCGATAAGACCGGTGTCAGCATTGAAGAGACAGGCTTAAAAGTCGAAGCGCCGACCGAGCAAATCGGGGAACCGGGTAGATGAGCGACCTAGGTCGGAGAAGGTAATCCCGGTCATGCTGGCGCGGACGGGAATAAGGGGAAATTGAGAGGGAGATTTCATAAATTGGCATTGGGTCGAGCTAAGTCGGGCCAAGTTAGACGGGTCTAGTCGGAGTAACCTAAGACCGCTGGCTCAGTTGAACATATGCGCTCCACTGAGTTAGACGAATTTAGTCTTCCGAAGATCAGGCCGACCGAGCAGAAGCTCAGTTAGAACTAAAGAGCTCGGCTATGCCACAATGAGATTATCAAGGAAGCTGGTCAGGCAGAATGGTTGTATCGTTAAGGTGTGGCACCGCGCTGAGAGTAGCTCGGTTGGAAGTACTACGCGGCTCTGCCAGACTGCAGAAAGGAGGCTCCGCAATTCATACACATTAATTTGGTTTGGCGGTTTCATTAGGTGGTGTTTAGCTGTTTTAGCGTTGACACGTGGGGAAATGTGAGAGGAGAACGGGTCCACGCGTCCCGAAGAGATTGGGCGCAAAAGCCCACGCAGAAACTATATAAACGAGGTTGCGCCTCCATACACAGGGATAGAACATCCTCTGGTGAGAGCTCAACTACCACATTGTCTCCTCTCTTTTCTCTCTCTCTCTCTCTCTCTCTCTCTCTCTCTCTCTCTAAATGTGTGCTGACTTGACCATCGAAAGAGTTTTCCGACAGCGCACCGCCGGGTAGCTCACATTCGTTGTGTTCTCAGGTCGATCAGAGGGAGGCACAGCTTGGACACGAGGAGTATGGACAACGTCGGATATTTGGCCCCCGTACAGCTTTGTTATTGCCTTTTTTTTTTATACATTTGGTAATTTCAATCTAACATAATATTCATATCTGTTAGTGTTTTTTTTGTTGGCACAATGTTTTCAATGCCAGACCTGACTGCCTCCGTTTCAACCACTTCAACCATCAAGCCTTTGGTCTTCTGGTCTTGATTACAAATACATCATATCTTGAATGCACAAGAACTTAAAAAAAGTTATTCCAAAAAATTCTCCACAATTCGGCAACAAAATCACAGAATAGTCTCAAGAATCTAGTTAGGGAATTCACAACCAGAAGCTCCAAGAATTCAATTGTACACAAATTGTATGAAGATATGCTACAACCTAATTGCAAAATAAAATGCATTTACTTTCTAAGTGACAGCCTTATCATGGTAACATTGATTCTCAAAAAGTACAAAAATAAACCTGAAGTGATCTCTTGCTGTCAGGACAACAAAATCGTCTAGAAAAATGAGTCGCCAAGCATTTAAGGCTGTTGGATCTCCGTTGAGATCTTGTAGATCAAACCTATGCAACAACATAACTTATACCAAATAAAGCAAACAAAAGCCCCTCCTCAGAGGCATCCTCTATGCTCTGAAACTCGGAAAATAAAATCACTCACAGAAAAGACCTGAAGGTGCTTATTGGATTTAACCCAGTCAGTTACATTCGAAATAATTCTTTCCTGGATTAAACCCCAATCCGGATTCCCTTTATGGAATAACTTCTCATTCCTAGTTTTCCACAGTTCGCATAAAATTGCCGACGGTAATACATTCCAGATTATTTTTTTTTCTCTCTTTTTCAAATTTAAGTCCTGCCACCATGACAATAGCTCTTTGATTTGTTGCCTTTCTTGTAGCTTTGGTAATTCAAATCTAATCATATTGTTCCTTTCTAGCAGTGTTTTTTATTGCTCTTTGTTGTTTACAACATTTTCAATACCAGACCAGACTAACTCTGGTTCGACCACTTCGACCCTCAACCCAAATATATAATCCCAATTATAAGTTTATTTTGTATTATTAGTTATAAGATTAAAAAATTTACCAATTTTATTGAATAAAATTTCCATCAAAATTTAACTTGGATAACAAAAAGTGTAACCAAACAATAGAATGCGAGTCGTATGAATTAATAATTCCAATTTTATACTATAATCCAGCCAATCAACTAGGCCCTTAGAGATGAGCTTTATATGGAAACTTTCATATGCAAAAAAAAATAAACAAATAAATAAATAATTGAAAAACTCAAAACATTTGCTGCAATAGAAGAGATATATAGATTAGTAAACATATTAGATTAAGCCATAGATTTTAACTCAAGACAACACTGAACTGTTTCTAATTCATAACAGCTTGTGCTTAGCTAAACTCATCAAATAGCTCAACTTGTCTCCCATTCAATGGTTGCACAGGCCTACTATTTTTCTTGCATGTTGCTTTCACAGGAGCCTTCAAAGCTTCTATCTGTTCTTTAGATATTGATCTCTCCTGCATTTTTTTGCACCCTATTATTAAATTATGCATGTACAAGGATCGAAATTTCATTTCGATGTATTGTTTTAATTAGTATGGAAACATAAATGTTTTGAACACTTTAACAACAAAAATGAATTTGAGGTGCATAAAAATGATTGGAAACATAAATTGAAATCCATTAAATGTATAAAAGTTTGATAATTGATTATTTAAAAATATTGAGATTTATATAGTTATTCACATAAAAGATTAAGTATAAAACTTTTTAAAAATAAAAAAATAAAAGTGTTTTTACAAAACAAAAATTATTAAGTATTGTCAAATTAATAGCTCAATTTTATTAAAGACGAGTGTAAAAAATCACAACAAATAAGGTTTTCAATTTTCTTTAAAAAATTAGTAGTAATAGAATTTCTAAATTAGAAGTAACAATATTTATTCACATAGTAAAATACAACCTTTCATTTTTTTTTTCCTGAAAAAATATAAAAAAAATAATGAAGTATTCTAAATCCACGTCGACAAAGATTATTATTCCAATGTAGCGCACTGTGTTTTGGTGTGTTTTGATGGAAACAAAATAAATTCTTTATTCTATTATTATTTTTAATTGAGTTTTAATTTGGTGTCTTAGACCATCTCCAACGCTTCACCAAACCTTGCATCAGATTTGAAATTTGGTGAAAAAGTCATTTTTTGCAGCTCCAATGGTTTCATCAAATTGGTATCAAAACGAGAATTCACCAAATTTTTCATCAAAGTGAGAACAGGGGGGAAGATTTCACCAATTTACTATGCGTGACTGTTGGGGGAGACCAACCGGTCAATCAGCCGGTTGACCGGCCGGTTGACCAACCAGTCGACCGGTTCCCTTGCAAATAGGTTGGTTCAAAGAGGTCAAAAGGTTCAAAGAGATAAAAAAAAATACACTAACTGGTCAACCGACCGGTCGACCCATCGGTCGACCCCTGCTTTGATGACAATCATTGGAGCAGTCTGTATCAGATTGAGAAAATGATCTTTTTTTTACTCAGATTTAGTGAAAAATTTGATAAACCGTTGAAGATGCTCTTAAAAAACATAAACATTTTAGTTATTCCATTGGAAACAGACAAATGAAAGTTTTGTTCCTTTGTAAGTATATATGGATGCACTTTGTTGATGAAACGAACTTATCTAACCTTGCCAAAGATGTGCCAGATAACATTCTCAGTGCACGGAGGAGTAGTGAGAGAACCAATATATCTATAATACTTGCGTGTATTTCGCCTCAATTTCCAGGTGTCATAGGTCCCAACGGCGATTTGATCTTGATTTGTAAACACCTCCTTAGCTAGCTCAGCTAATTTACTTTGGATCTACAACCATGAAACATCACAACACCTATTAACTTATCAAACACTTCCATTCACTAGAATTTCAATATCAAGTTCTTCTACTTACCACAAGGGGTGACAGGTAAACATATGATTAAATGCAATAAATTTATATACACTCTACCTTGGCAATAATAGGATCAGCATCACCAATTTTATAAAGGATGGCTATAACTGCGAGGCTTCCATCACTAGCCATGTGGACTAGATGAAGCTCTACATCAAATCTATAATTATGTAAAACATAAATTAAAGTCAAATTATAAAGATGAAAAATATAATTTACTTAGTTTTTTATTTGAACAATCTATAAAAAAAATAAAAAAAGAAAAAACATGAGACAGAAAAAGAACATACGTGACACCATGGATTTTGTGCTCAGAAGGAGAATGCCAGTGCATTTGAAGCAAGGTGTAGTTCTTGCCATTTAAAATCAAGACTCCAGCATTTCCAAATACCAGCTACATATTGATAAATAATTCTTCATTGAGCAAAAACATGTACAACAATGTGTGCCATAGTCAAAGCCACAAAAGTGAATGCTTATAATCCAAAACCATTTTACTATTGTAGTTACTAAACATTCTCTGTTTTTTTAGAGGTGCTATTATTATGTAAATTACAATTTCCAATCTAAAAAAAATAATAAAAAAAAAATCACATAAGATAATGTAACAATGACTTATTTAAAATTAAAGCTTATAAATAAATAGACCTTTTTAGCTTTAAGTGATCCTAGTCAAATAAGTCACACCAATTTATACAAAATTTTACATAGCAAGAGAAATAACACTTCCATCTAACTTTAGAAATTATTTTGCCATGTTGCACGGTATCACCCCTTGTATGTCTAGCAAACATTGGCCCGGTTTATTGGAGCTACTTTTTTTTTTTTCTTCTTTTTTCTCTGAAAATCTATGTCAAAGTATATGGTACAACTTCTTATAATTTATGAGGCAAAAATAATTTAAACAAGTTAGAAAAAAAAAAATTGTTTATCTCAAAAGTGGGGGAGGAATATTTACTTTTAGCTTTTACTTTCTCAAATAGATTAAGTAACGCTTTGAAATCCAAAATAATTAAAAGATTTCTCGACAAACTTCTTGCAAAGACACAAACGAATATCCAAGTGTACATAGCATTCCAAGTGTACTCACAAGTGTAATCCATACCTCAAAATGCTAGAAAATCAATTTTATGCTTTCTTGAAATAACTTTCAATTTTAATTTAATTATGATGGTTGTTGGTACCAAAAGTAAAAGGAAGGCCAAAAACATACCCCAACGTTGTAGCCATGGTTAACCAATGTAGCGTTTGCAGGATAATATTCTCTTCTTAAGGGCTTCAAGTTTTTATTACGAACAACTTTGTTCTTTACAATGTCAATTGGAGACTGCGCTTTTCCATTCGAGCATGTCGCGTAAAGAGGGCTCAAGCTTCCCCATTTGTCAGGGCCGGTGTTGCCAGAATAACTGAACACAGGAGCTGTTCCAAGCTCTGGCGATAAAAATTTAACAAAAGTAATTAATATCATCAGTTTGAAAGTAAACAAAATTAATCATTTGTTGGTTGGGAGGACATGAGCAATATTTTCTTTTGATCTTAAAGCTATGTTTTGTTATCAAAACTATTATGCAAAATCGTGAAAAAATTAAAGCAAATAGACAAGATATATGTACTACATCCACAGAAATAAGGACATCAAATTCACTATGTATAATAAAAATTATAGAACTCTAAACTTATCAATTGAACCGTTCAATGAATTCGATTTGTTCATGAATTTAATTGAGAAAAACTTATTAGATAGTCAACAGTATCATGTTGCATTGATTACTACATAGGTCATCTGTATCATTCTTTATTTCTCAAAAACTTAACAAGGTAAGTAAATATTGTCCCACTCATAATGTTTTTTGTTACAACATTGGTTAGAACAGCACATGCACCAATTGAATTTTCTACAATGATTATTGCAAAGGATAATTGTGTTTTGGACTTAAACTATCTGTGTAAATCACCAATGATGTTGTTTTGGGACTAAACCACTTAACCTACTATGGCAATATTATTGCGAGGGTGATTATTGTAAAAACTTTTATAGGATTAAAATTCTTTGAAATAATTAAGATCTTTGCAAAGTAGGATTCAAAAACACCCCTCCTTCAACTTTCAAATAATCAAATTTTTTCAACTTATTTAATCTATTTCCACCTAATAAGCTGTAAGTTGACTAAACATCATTATTGCAAGAATGATTTTGAAGGCTTAAACTATCGAGTACTTCAATCATCATTAATTATGTTTTGAGTTTAAATGAGATAATCATAATTCTCTTATACATGTTGTAAAATGATTCATAAACAAAAAAAAATCTCATAAAAATAATATGACAGTGATAGTTTGGAAATTATAATCATTTATATGGGCCTTCTAGTTTGAAATGAATAAACACACATTTGTCACCTCGTTTTATTTAATTTTTTTTTATAACTATTATACTTGTATATAACCATTCTTACATGGCTATAACAAGGTGATGGAGACATGGTTGATTAGAATTAGTAGCGGTTAGGGACATTTGACTTGTTTGTTTCACGTTTGGATAAAAACATGAAGCTTTTAAGATGATTTTTTTAAATTGTACGTTACATACAAGGTACAACCTTTAAAGCTTGCATAAATTATCGGACTCCCAAGCAAGAATTAGGATTTACTGTGTTATTTTATTTTTATTTTTTGGTAATAATCTCATTGTAGGAATTCGAGGGTTCAAATTTGAACCCTATCTAATACCTTCTTCTGTCTTGTCTGATTGTATGTGTAGCTTAAAATAAAAATGCAATATTTTACTTTAGTTTTAAACTTGATCATTAAATTTTATTTATTTTTTACTGATGTATTATACTGTGATAAAAATTATAACGAAACCATTGCACCAAAAAAAAATGGTATATGATCTTGATCACCAATTAAAGGCAACAAATGGAGTTCATGAAAAAAAATAACAAACTTCTTTCAATATTCACATTTCCCATTTGATCAAAATTTTCACTCATTTTTTTTTTTTCCCTGTATATAGAACGTGTAATTGATAGCGAAATCTTGATGATTCTCTGTAAGTTTTCTTGGAAAAACAAAAGTTAAAAGGAAAAAAACAAAAAACATTTCACAATAACAATAAACTCTATTAGAAAATGCAAAAAAAAATATATCATAAAAAAAAAAAAAAGCCATAAAACAAAGGAATTCTAAACATAGTGTAGAACTTCTTCAAACCTTTGTGTTTCAAAAAAATCACAACTCTTAAAAATAAAAACTTGATCTTTTGAGACACAGATAAATAAGACACACACACACATATATATATATATATATATATTGTTGGGGTTTTAAGGCTAGTCCACCTGAAATATTAGAAATAATCTACGCAACAATGACACACAATATTTATGTGGTTCGGCCTCAATGCCTATGTCCGCAGATAGAACAAGAGATTTCTAATAAAATAAATAGAGTTTACAACGGAAGATGAGACTCTCTCACTCAACTCACACGCTCCTCTACTGTTTTACACTCTCAGCTCTCTTCTCACCTTCACAGAGATACACACTCGTGTATTCTGCCACACTCTTCCTTGTGTTCTACTTGCCTCTTGCAAACTAACTCAATATATAGAGGGAGAGACCACAGTTCATCCCACTCCCATATGAAAGCATTAACTTGCCACCTTCCTAATACTGTGTTTGATTGAGAGATTGGGGAAGGAATTTGAAAAATGAAAAGGGAAAAAAAATGTGTAAAACTATATAAAATGTAAGTATATTTTATAAAAATGTGTGAAACTATATTTTATTCACATTTCTTCTATTTTTTTTATTTTCCTTTCCAAATCTTTTCCCAAATCCCACAACCAAATATAGAATAAGTGTGGCTTGTCTCCCTAGCTTCTCTTTCACCATTGTCTACTCTCCATTCATGCCAACCAATGTTAACAATGGTGGCTACCTCTATCCACATGGGTGAACTCAACATATATATATACCCACACCACGTGTAAGATAAGTAATCTTAACTGTTTGATCCTAGTTTCCAACTTCCATTTGAAGAAGATGCAAAGTAAATGCATATAAGAAATGGGCAAACACGGAGAGAGAGAGAGAGAGAGAGAGACAACAAATCAATAACATGTTCTTCATCTTCCCTATTCTCTCTCTCTATCTCTTGTTCCTCCATCTTCCCTCTTCTCTCTCTACCTCTCTTTCCTCATTTTTAACTTTTTTTTTTGTGTGTTTTTTCGAAAGAAGCAATTCGGAACTGTTACGTAACGGTGCGTAACAGGCCGTTACGGCCGTTATGGCACCGTTACGACCGCTATAGCAGCTGCTATGGCCAATACATCTGTGAATCTCAATCACACTGCAAAAGCGGCGTAACGGGTGCCGATAACTACTACAACCGTTACGTAACGGTTGCGGCCGCTTTTTAAAACCTTGGTCTCAATCCTACTTATTCTCTAGTCCAGTGTCCTCGGCATCTCTTCAGAGGGAGTGTTGGCATGAAAAGAGTCCAGTTGCTTCTATTATTCCTGGTCCAGTACCACCTCCAATGGTATCTATCACTAGCAATACTGAATCTGATGTTGCCAAGAACAAAGAAAGACAGGTCTATGCCAGGGATAAAGAAAGACAAAAAAGTTACTTATACAAGAGACCATTTCTGATCAATCATTACCGTCTCCTTCTCTTGATGAAGATCCAGGCAACCCTAAAACTCCTGGTATTGCTACCTCTGAGTTTGAGCCTACTGATCTTGATATACCCATTACCAAGAGAAAGGGTGTGAGATCTTGCACTCATCATCCTATTTCTAACTTTGTGTCTTATTCTCATTTGTCCTCTTCATATAAAGCTTTTGTGTCAAAAATTTCCTCTGTTAGTATACCTAATCATTTTCAGGATGCTCTTATCATTCCTAAGTAGAAACTGACCATAGTAGAGGAAATGAAAGCACTTCATAAAAATTGCACTTGGGATTTGACTAAGCTACCTAGGGCAAACGAACTGTGGAATGCAAATGGGTGTATACTGTGAAGCACAAGATAGATAGTTCCATTGAGCGATATAAAGCTCGACTTGTGGCAAAGGGTTTTACTCAGACATATGGGGTGGACTATCAAGAGACATTTGCACCAGTTGCGAAGATGAATTCAGTCCGAGTACTTCTCTCTCTGGCAGCTAATCTGGATTGGCCATTTCATCAATTTGATGTGAAGAATGCTTTCCTACATGGTGACTTAGAAGAGGAAGTGTATATGGATATTCCTAATGGCTTTGAAACTCTTCAAACTCAGGGTGAGGTGTGTCGACTTCGGAAGTCATTATATGGCCTCAAACAGTCTCCTAGGGCTTGGTTTCAAAGGTTCACTCAGGCCATGCTGAAATATGGCTTCAAACAGAGTCAGGCTGATCATACTATGTTTGTTAAACATTCCTCTCATGATAAGACTGCAGCTCTCATTATATATGTGAATGACATAGTTCTTATAGGAGATGATGTTGTGGAAATTCTTTTGTTGAAGAAGTATTTGGCGAGTGAGTTTGAAATCAAAGACTTGAGGAACCTAAAGTACTTTTTGGGAATTGAAGTGGCTAGGTCAAAAGATGGAATTTTCATCTGTTAGAGAAAATATGTTCTTGACCTATTAAAGGAAACAGGAATGCTCAGAAGCAAAGCCTGTGACACACCGCTAGAGCCTAATCAGAAACTTTGTGATGATAATGGGGAAGCAGTTGTTAACAGGGAGCGTTATCAAAGGCTAGTGGGTAAACTTATTTACTTATCTCATTCTCATCCTGATATTGCTATTGCTGTTAGTGTGGTCAGCTGGTTTATGCATGCTCCTCATGAAACACACTTGGCGGCAGTTATGAGAATTTTGAGATATTTGAAATCTTCTCCTGAAAAAGGTCTTTATTTTTCTAAACATGATCATCTTAGTATGAAAGTTTATACGGATGCTGATTGGGCAGGATTAATCATTGATAAGAGATCCACTTCTGGGTCTTGTACCTTTATTGGAGGCAATTTGGTTACGTGAAGAAGTAAGAAACAAAACATGGTTGCCAAGTCTAGTGCAGAAGCTGAGTTTAGAGCTATGGCACAAGGTGTGTGTGAGCTCTTGTGGATCAAGTTGTTGTTGCATGACTTGGGAATTGCCCAGACAGACTCCATGCGACTATATTGTGATAATAAAACTGCCATCAACATAGCTCATAATCCGGTTCAACATAACAGAACAAAGCATGTTGAGATTAATCGTCATTTCATCAAAGAAAAGCTCAGCAGTGGCACAATATGTACTCCATTTGTGCAATCTGGTGAACAACTTGCAAATATCCTCACCAAGGGAGTTGGGAGTAAACCATTTCATGATATTCTTCACAAGCTGGGCATGAGAGATATCTTTGTACCAGCTTAAGGGGGAGTGTTAGAATATATGTTAGAATATTTCTATTATTTGTTTCCTTACTTAAATTATTCTGTATTCTTTGATTAGTGCCTTATGACTCTCCTTGTAACTGTTGGTTAATGAATATAAAAGGGGATGATGTTATTGTCATTCTCTAAGTTTTGATTTTCTCTAAAACAAACACATCCTTGTGCTCAAGACTTTGCCTTATTTCTTCTCCATACATCTGCTAGATTTGTTGCCTCATTACTGTATGTGGATGATATGATCATCACTGGCCCTGACTCTTCTACTATCTTTGAAGTCAAGCAGCATCTTTTCCGTACTTTTGAAATGAAGGATCTATACCCCTTGCGGTATTTTCTTGTTATTAAGGTAGCTTCTTCTCCCAAAAGCTACTTTCTTTCTCAAGCCAAGTATGCCAATGACGTTATTCATCGTACCGGTCTTACTAAAACTAAGATTTCTGATGCCCCTATTGAGCTTAATGTGAAGCTCACCCCTTCTGATGGTGTTCTTCTCGATGATCCTACTTTATATTGAGAGCTTGTGGGTTGCTTATTCTATTTAACGGTTACTCGTCATGATCTGGCCTATACTGTTCATGTGGTTAGTCAGTTCGTTTTCGCTCCTTGTTCTACACATTGGGCTGATTTGGTTCAAATTCTTCACTATCTCCAGAGTACTATATTTCAGGATTTATTATTGTCTTCTACTTCCTCTTTTTGGACTTAGTAGCTTATGCTGATTCTAATTGGGCTGGTGATGTCACTGATCGCAAGTCCACTTCTGGCTTCTGTATGTTTCTTGGTGATTCCTTGATTTCTTGGAAGAGCAAGAAACAGACTGTTGTTGCGCGTTCCACTACCCAGGCTGAGTACCGTGCTATGGCTCATGCCACTACTGAGATTGTTTGACTTCGTTGTCTCTTGACTGATTTAGGTGTCCCTCAGTCTTCTCCGACCTCCCTTTACTGTGACAACCGCAGTGCTATTCAGATTGCACATAACACTGTCTTTCATGAGCGGACGAAGCACATTGAAATTGATTGTCATTTTATCTGTCAGCATTTGTAGTCTAGTTCCATCTCGCTTCCTTTCGTTTCTTCGGCATTACAACTTGTTAATTTCATTACGAAGACTCACACAACTGCTCGATTTCAATTTCTTCTTAGCAAACTCTCAGTGTTTTCTACTAAAACACCTTGAGTTTGAGTGAGAGTGTGAGAATATATTGTGTACAGAATTAGGGAAGATTGTATTGTGTATAGAATTAGGAAAGATTGTGGTGTAACTATTTGGCTGTATTTCATTTTTCGTATTTTCCTTTTTCAGCCATAGGTTTAGGGTTATATAAACTGGTGACCTCCTTGTAAAGATACACAATTAAATATACAGTTTCATTATAGAAAACTTACACCTTCCAAATTTTCTCCACCTGAACCTTATATTGTATACCTGACCACCAATGTAGGAGTTCCTCCACTAAACCAGGAATGACCTAATACAAATTTCACCATTTCACAATATCAGACCAAACTCTCCATATCAAATGACAATGTAGTAGCACATGATTTATGGTCTCCACTTCAAATTTGCAAAACACACATAATGTATTGGCATCGGGATTCAACACTCCAATCCTAAACAACAAATCAGAGGATTTAATCCTGCCTTTCCAAGCTAGCTAACTCAGAAATTGCACTTTGGGCAGACCACCAAGATGCTTTGGCATTGTGTTCAACAGAGTTGTGGCCTTGTGTAACTAAGGCGTCCCTGTGTTCTTCCATCATTAGACATATCAGGATATTTAAGAATCAATATGGATGTACATCATTTACACTTATATTGAAACCTTTTCAAACTATTTTAATGTTGATTCTAGGTGAAAATTTTGATAACCTCTTTATTTTTCTTAATTTTTTTAATTTTTAATTTTTATTTTTAGAGGAAGACTCATACCTAAAACCTCTAGAAGTAGTTTTCCATTTTCTATGAAACTCAAACAGCATAGCCAAACGACCATCTTCCTCTCTTCATCTTAGTTAGATCACCAATCATCCCAAAAGATTAAGCCATTGGTAAATGAATCCAACAATGTATATCAAGCTATCATGACCCTATCTTGTAAGTGGAGAGACACACAGATAAATCACAAATAGAATCCAACAATTGCACAAACATAACAAAGGAAAACAAAATAATAACCTAGGGCCTCCTAAAATCACTTATTGTTTCGAAAGCTTATGCTATTATTAGTAAATTTATCAAACAAACCAAGTACTTGAAAAACTTGTGCTTTGAGAGGGAGATTTCATAAATTGGCATTGGGTTGAGCTAATGTAGGCCGAGCTAAGTTGAGTCGAGCTAAACGGGTCTAACCGGAGTAACTTAAGACCGCTAGCCCAATTGAACATATAAGCTCCGCCGAGTTAGACGGGTTTAGTTTTTCGAAGATCAGGCCGACCGAGCAGGAGCTCGGTTAGAACTAAAGAGCTCGGCTACGTCACGGTGAGATTATCAAGGAAGCCGATCAGGTAGAATGGTTGTATCATTAAGGCGTGGCACTACGCTGAGAGTAGCTGGTTGGAAGTACTACACGGCACAGCAAGATTGCAGGAGGGAGGCTCCGTGGTTCATACGCATTAATTCAGCTTGGCGGTTTCGTTGGGTGGTGTTTAGCTGTTTTAGCACTGACACATGGGAAATATGAGAGGAGAGCAGGTCCACATGTCCCGAGGGAAATGAGGGCAAAAACGCACGCAGAAACTATATAAACAAGGCTGTGCCTCCATACACAGGGATAGAATATCCTCTGGTGAGAGCTCAACTACCACATTGTCTTCTATCTTTTCTCTCTCTCTCTGTCTCTCTCTCTCTAAGTGTGTGCTGACTTGACCGTTGGAGGGGTTTTCAGGTAGGACACCACCGGGTAACTCACTTTCGTTGTGTTCTCAGGTCGATTGGAGGGAGGCGCAGCTTGGACACGAAGAGTACGGACTACGTCAGATATTTGGCCCCCATACAATTGGCACCGTCTGTGGGAAGCTTTGATAGATAAAACCTTGTCATCCAAGCTCATCCGATCATCTTCCATGGCAAACAACGACGACATCCCATTGTCTGTCATCGAAGGCATCACTCCGAAGTCCGTTCGGAGAAGAGATGGCCTTCCCGCCATCCCTACCATGGAAGGTTTGGAGACCTCTCCTAGGGGGCTCCCTAAAGATGCGTGAGACAAGCACGCAAGAAGCATTGATCACTCGCGAAGCCCCGACGGGCACCGGCGACGAAGAGAATCGCACGCTCAGCGCCTGGCGCATAAGTTGAGAGATCAAGACATCATCATTCAAAGGATGACAGTGAAGATGGAGGCACTAAAATGGCAGGTCAAAGGGAAGGGTGTTGCTGGAGTAGATAACCACAGTAGGCGCACCTAACCCTGTCGCTTAGGCAGCCAGAACCAAAGATAGACACCATCCCTCTCCATCACTAGAAGTTATGGAGTTAGTGACTCTAACCCGCCAGCAGAGAAGTCTTGTGCGCAAGACAGCAGTCACTGTCCCTCACATTCGTCGACAATATCGAGATATTCCTAGTCCGCCTATTCGGAGGACTTAAGGGACGTCTTGGAGGAGCGAGCGAGCCGGCGAGAGGCACAAAGGGTGCTAACGCTGCAGTAGTTATCCCACGGAGGTCGCGCCATTAAGGAAGTCATAATGTCGCCACTTCTCCCAACTGTACATGCTCCTTTGGACAGAGATTTGGCACGGCTGAGTGCGACCCCCTTCTCCCTCGAGATAGAGCCCACACCACTCCTTACGGGCTTTCACTAGCCCAAGTTTACGCTCTATAACGGAAAAACCGATCCATATATACACATGAGCCATTTCCGACAAGTTATGGCTAGTTACAGGCGTAATGATGCTCTTATGTGCCTTATTTTCACGTCAAGTTTGGACGAGTTGGGCCTAAAATAGTTCAAGAAGCTACCAGAGGAAAGTGTCAAAAGGTGGCAGCAGTTGGCGGAAGCGTTTGTGACTCGATTCAAAACCAACACAAAAACGCCGAAAGAAGTTGACCACCTTCTAAGCATCAAGATGGAATCGGGTGACTCACTCAAAGTATACAATGCCAAGTATTGGGAAACCTTTAATGAAATTCTTGATTGCCCGACCAACCTAGCAATTGCCTAATACAAGTGCGGTCTCTCGGTCGGCCATAGACTGAGGGACTCGCTTACCATGAACCAACCGACGACCATAGAGTTATTGATGCAGCACATCAACGAGCACATTCGAGTAGAGGATGATTCTACCTCAGCAACCACGAAGGTGAATCCATTGGCAGCAGACAAAAAAGTGGCTAGAAAGGTTCACGCGGTTGGACAGGACACAAACCGTCCGAGTGACCTCGCAATAGAGTCAAACCACAGTACAGATCACAACAACCGGGGTAAAGGTCGCTGCTCCGATCGAGATGATTATCCTCGTGATGCCGCGGCAGACATAAAGAGAAGGTTGAACACCCAGACAGGCATCACCACAGTTTTCAAGATCTCAATCTACTACATCCTTAGCAAAATTCGCGACTAGGTGTACGTCCGGTTTCCGGCTAAGTTGGGTGACTCAAAGAAGGGTTTCAATCCGCGGTATCATTGTACCTTTCATGGCAAGCGAGGGCACCGCACCGAGGACTGTCTGCCTCTGAAATAGCATTTGAAGGAGTTAGTGGTCACCGGACTCTTGGGCCGTTACATTGATGGAAGTGTCATGGCCGCACCCTATGCCCTGGCTGAGCTGAATGGTTTGGCCGCCCTAGAAGCGCCCCCACATAACGTGATCAACGTGTTCCACGGCATCGTCAAGCCAGCGTAGATATGCGAGTTTCGAGGGATGATCAAAAAAGCAGAGCATATGAGGGAAGTCCTATCTGTCTAGCCCATGGTCAGGAAAGGCAAAACCAAGGTGAAAGATGTGCTCAGCTTTTCAAGCCAGGATCTTGAATGAATTCAAACGCCGCACAATGGCATGCTGGTGGTCACCCTTCACATCAAGGACTTTGAGGTTAGGCACATTCTAATCGACCAGGGTAGCTAGGTCAAAATAATGTACTACAATGCCTTCAAGCAACTTAAGCTAACTGATAAAAACTTAGCCCCTACAACCTCGACATTGGTCGGCTTCAACTCGCAACTAGAGTGGCCCATGGGAAAGATCATTTTGCTGGTCAAAGCAAGGACCATGGTCAAGCAGGTGGAGTTCTGGATGTTGAAGGTGCCTTCCACATACAACCTGATCTTAGGCCGAGGATGGCTTCATGCCATGCAAGCAGTGGCTTCGACCTACCACTAAGTCATGCAGTTTCCCTCAACTGAGGGGATGATTGAAGAAATCTGGGGCAATCAAATCATGGCGAAGCAGTGATTTGTGTCCGTTAATGAGAGCCACGCAGCCAAAGGATTCGTACAAATGATTGAAGGACCGGAGAATCAAAACGTCCTGGATGATATGGGTACCAAGGCCGAATAAAAGGCTGTTGAAGACTTGGTGGAGGTGAGGATCGACGAAGCTAATCTTGAGAAGTTCTTTCTGTTAGGATCCAACCTAACCGCCCAAGAACGGCTAGAGATGGTGGAGTTTTTGGTGGCAAATATCAAAGTGTTTGCATGGACGCCTAACGACATGCCTGGAGTCGATCCAAACTTTATTTTCCACCAACTCAACGTCTTTCCAGACACCCGACCTATCATTTAAAAAACGTAGAGATCAGTTCTTCATCACGCCGAGGTTGTGGTAGAGGAGGTCAAAAACTTGCTTGAAGCAAGGGCAATCCAGGAAGTGCACTACCCTCAGTGAGTTTCCAACACTATCGTGGTACCGAAGAAGAATGGCAAATGGCGAGTTTGTGTTGACTACAAGACAGTCAACCGTGTTTGCCCTAAAAATAGCTTCCCCTTGCCCAGAATTGACCAATTGGTGGACCTTACTGCCGGCCACAACTGACTCAACCTTTTGGATACTTACCGCGGTTATCATCAGATCGCCATGCATGAGCCAGACCGGGAGGTTACTTCTTTCACCACCCTAAGGGGGCTATTCTGCTACTGAGTTATGCCCTTCGGGGTTGAAGAACGCTAGGGAAACCTTTCAAAGGATGGTCACAAAGATGTTCGCTCCCTTGCTCGGTCAAACAATGGAGGCATATATCGATGACATGGTTGTAAAGAGCAAGTGTGCAGCCGACCACCTGTCTGACTTGGTGGAGATGTTCGCCATTCTTAAACAACACAAGTTGTGCCTGAATGCGTCAAAGTGTGCTTTCGGTATGGGGTCAGCGAAATTCTTGGGCTTTCTAGTCACTAACCGTGGCATTGAAACGGACCCCTCCCAAATCAAGGCCATACAAGAATTGAAGCAACCAACTCGGTGAAGGACGTGTAACATCTTGCCGGGATGGCAACCACGCTTAATCGATTATAAGTCCATCATCAGATCGTTGCCGACCTTTCTTCCGAGCCTTGAAGTCTAAGTTTTCATGGGACGAAGAATGTGACAGAGCCTTAGTCAAGCTAAAGACATACCTATCTTTGGCTCTACTCCTGGTTATGTCGAAGCATGGCAAAGAACTCTATCTTTATCTGGATGTTTCTTAACATGCCGTAAGCGCGGTGCTCGTTCGAGTGGAAGGCATCCAACATCTACTAATCTTTACGTGAGCAAAACTTTGCACCCGACGGAGCTGAGGTACTTGCCTCTGGAGAAGCTCGCCTTGGCGCTGATGATGGCCTCAAGGAAATTGGCACACTACTTCCATACATACACTATCATGGTATTGAATGAGTTCCCATTGAAAGCTGTGTCTAAACGGGCAAACTTTTCTAGCCGAATTCTGAAGTGGGCAGTTGAGTTGGGGCAATTCGACGTCAAGTTTCAACCCCGAACTGTAATCAAAACCCAAGCAATGGCAGACTTTGTTGCGGAATTCTCACCCAGAGTTCATCCAATTTACCCGGTGGATCTTACTAACGCAACTGAGCTTTCAATAGTCAACCCCCCATGCAATCAAATGTTGAAGATGACACAAAAAATGCTCGCCTATCTACAAACCCATCACTCAAAGGCTCACTTCAGCCTAGCAATGCGCCGTTGGATTTGGAAATAACAGGACAACCTGTTAGATCTAACGCCGCATTGCTGAGGGGGGATGAAGACATGTTTGTTGCAATCGTCAACGGTGAGCTTGCCGCGGGAGTAGCCGACCAACCGAGCAACTCTGATCTCCTGAACCTTCGCACATCTTAGGACCCCGCAGAATGTTGGAAGCTTTTCATTGGCAAAATATGGAAATTCTTTGTCAATGGCGCCCTCAAACAGGCACGGAGCCGGGCTGGGAGTAGTTCTGATCTCCCCGGACGGGCTGACCATTGAACATTCTATCACGCTAGGATTTTCGACATCAAACAACGAGGCTGAGTACGAAACGTTCCTAGCTAGTCTGAAGAGCGCACTCCACATACAAGCATCTGAGCTGATGGTCTATAGTGACTCTCAACTCGTTGTAAACCAAGTATCTGGGAAATATGAAGCCAAAGATGATAGAATGGCCAACTACCAAATGTTGGTCAGAGATCAAATCAATAAGTTCCAAGCCATAAGAGTCCAACAAATCAGTCGAGAAGATAATGGTCTTGCAGATGAGATGGTCGGTTTCGCTTCAATGGTCGACAAATCAACCCCCAGCCCTCCTAATTGAACTCCTCCCAAGACCCAGCATTGAAGACTCAGAGCAGATAGAAGTTCTCTGCACCGAGCTAGGTCCCTCTTGGATGGACCCCATCATCATTTTCCTCAAAGAAAAAATCATGCCGGCCGACAAGAAGGAAGCACACAAAGTCCGGGTGAAGTCTGAGCGGTTTTGGCTCTCTTCATCTAGCGCTCTGTACAAGAAATCTTTCACCGGTCCATACCTCAAGTGTGTTCACCCGAACAAAGTCAAAGCTTTCCTTTATGAGATTCACAAAGGCTTGTGTGGAAGCCACATCGGCGGAAGATCTTTAGCCTACCGCGCTATTTCCCAGGGATACTGGTAGCCGTTCATGCAGGCAGATACACAGAAATATGTGAGAAAATGCAAAAAATGCCAAAAGTTCGCCCACCAAATTCATCAGTCGACTAGAGAACTCCTTCCTCTCACAAGTCCTTGGCCTTTCGCAATGTGGGGGCTTGATATAGTAGGACCACTCCCAACCGCACCGGGCAACCGCAAGTTCTTCATAGCGGTAACAGACTACTTCACCAAATGGGTTAAAGCTGAGCCCTTGGCGACAATCACAGAAAATGATGCAAAGAAGTTTGTCTGGCAGAACGTGATAACACAGTTTGGAGTCCTCAAGGCTTTAATCTCCGACAATGGTACCCAATTTGATGGGCGGTTGTTCAGAGGATTTTGTGAGGAACTAAAGATAGAATTCTATAACTTTACACCAGCCTATCCTCAGCCCAACGGCCAAGCCGAAGCATCAAACAAAACCATTCTAGATGGGCTAAAGAAAAGGTTTGAGAAAACCAAAGGGAAATGGGCCGAAGAACTTTCAAGTGTTCTCTGGGCTTACTGAACAACACCATGATGCTCAACCGGGGAGACGCCTTTCGCCTTGGCATATGGCATGGAAGCAATCATCCCGTTGAAGATCGGAATGCCCACCATCCGCAGTGAAAGTTTTGAGCCTGACTTGAACGTCGAATCCATTACCTTAGAATTGGAACTTACATTCTTAACATGAAGGGCCCTAATTCATGTCGCAGCATATCAAAAAGAACTATCTCGAAAGCATAACAAAACTGTTCACCCCAGACTGATCAAGGTCGGAGATTAGGTCTTAAAGAAAGTGATGGGCAACACTCTTGTACCGAGCGAAGGGAAACTAGGGGCAAACTGGGAAGGGCCTTACAAGATAACTGGTCTGGCTGGCAAAGGGGCATACCATCTAGAAGACTTGGATGGCAAAGCTATACCCCGGCCATGGAACGCAGCAAATCTGAAGTTATATTACTTTTAGTTTCTTTGAATGTAATTTTTTGTAAGGGACTAACGTTCCCCTCCATTTCCCAATGTAATTTTTGCAGTCACCATATGAACTCATGAATGTTATTATGTAATAGAAATAAATTACTTTACATAGAAAATTTGTTGTGGTTGAAGGATTGTAATGAACGAAGGGCAATTGCTCCCAAAGCTGAGATGATTTTGCTCAACCAATAGAGTTGATGAATTGTTCAACTCTGGAATTTTAGCTAAGATATTGTAGCTCGGCTAGGAGAGTTGATGAATTATTCAACTTTAAGCTTTTTAGTCGAGATGATTTTGCTCGACCAGTAAAGTTGATGAATTGATCAACTCTAGGATTTTAGCCGAGATGTTTTAGCCCGGCTACGAGAGTTGATGAATTATTCAACTCTAGGCTTTTAAGCCGAGATGATTTTGCTCGGCCAATAAAGTTGATGAATTGTTCAACTCTAGAATTTTAGCCGAGATGTTTTAGCCTGGCTAGGAGAGTTGATGAATTATTCAACTCTAGGCTTTTTAGCCGAGATGATTTCGCTCGGCCAATAGAGTTGATGAATTGATTAACTCTAGGATTTTAGCCGAGCTGTTTTAGCCTGGCTATGAGAGTTGATGAATTATTCAACTCTAAACTTTTTAGCCGAAATGATTTTGCTCGGCCAATAGAGTTAATGAATTGTTCAACTCTAGGATTTTAGCCAAGATGTTTTAGCCCGGCTAGGAGAGTTGATGAATTATTCAACTCTAGGCCTTTTAGCCGAGATTATTTGGCTTAACCAATAGAGTTGATAAATTGTTCAACTCTAGGATTTTAGCCAAGATGTTATAGCCCAGCTAGGAGAGTTGATGAATTATTAAACTCTAGGCCTTTTAGCCGAAATGATTTTGCTCGGCCAATAAAGTTGATGAATTGTTCAACTCTAGGATTCTTAGTCGAGATGATTTTGCCCGGCTAGGCTAGTTGATGAATTGTTCAACTTTAGGATTTTAGCCGAGATGCTTTTACCCGGCTAGAAGAGTTGATGAATTGTTCAATTCTAATCTTTTTAGCCGAGATGTTTTTGACCGGCTATAAGAGTTGACGAATCGTTCAACTCTAGGCTCTTATCCAAGATGATTTTGCTCGGTTACAAGTCAGTGCACAATTTTTCCTTGATAAGAATGTGGATGTTTTGTTCCATTCTATTAAGACCGAGATGATTTTCCCGATTCAATCAGTGTGTACCTTGGCCGGCACATATTTCGTGGTTAAAAGAAGAACCACAACACACATGGCAAGAATGCAAGAGAAGTGGGAAATACTTTTCATTGATTCAGATTGTAATTACAAGAGTTGGGCAAGAAGACCGGTTACAAGAGTGCAAAAAAAAAAAAAAAAAAGCAATGCAAGTCTAATCTAGGCTAAGGGGGAGAGGTCAATGAAGTCATCTCCAGCCCCCTTTGCGATGGCTTCCAGGGCGACCACAGCAGTCATTCCTTTGCCGCTGGGCTCCTCTACTCCTTGGTGACTCCTACCTGTTTGGTATAATTGTCCTCAGCCTCCTTGAAACCGAGATCGCTGGCTTCGTCCACATCTTTCTGCCTGGCCTTCTTCAGCTCTTCCAGCTCGGCGCGTAGAGCATCTCTTTCCTGCTCGACGGTACCAAGCTAGCTGAACAACTTGGAGTTGCCTACATTGGTCATCTCCAGCGAGGACTTGGACCGCCCTAGCTCGGTGTCTAGATGTTTAGCCAGGTTGGAGACATCGATTACTTTCTGCCGAAGCCTGTGAATCCGGTCCATGACAAGGTGTTGTTTCTGGATAGCCTGCAAGGGAGCAGAGTGAGGTTAGCTCAAATAAGAAACTAACCAAGATAACACTTGAAAAAATTTCCAAATTCTTACCCTGGTCATAGACTTGACTGCAGACTTCACCAGGTAGGTGTCAAGCACGTGATCACTGCCGGTGATATCGCTTGGCAGAAGCAATGCCTTCGACAAATCGTTGGCCAAGAGATGCTCTTTGTCTCCCTTAATCGAAGCATTGATTGGGATATCCTTACCCCGGTGCTTCAACTCCGGTCGCCATAGGGGTGTTGGTTCAAAACCCTCCGCCGGCTGCTCGGTGCTCAACTCGACAATGAGATCAGCCATGGGATCGGTGGAGCAAGCCCTCTTTCCAGCTCGGTGACTTTCTTTGTCGGCTTGTGCTCCGGCAGTTGAGGCCAGGGCAATCATGGTCCCAGATGTTTGACCAGTAGTGGGGGCAGGAGAGGAAATGCTCGGCACCTCAGTGGATGTGGCAGCGATGAGATTCTTAATTCGGCTCCATTTGGCCATTTCTTGCTCCTCGGTTAACCGAATTAAGGGCACATTCGGAAGTGTTGGATCAGGAGGCGGAGAGGCCGCCTACAGAAAATCTGTGACCTTGCTCCTACGGGGAGCTGAGTAGCAGTAGCTCGGTACGTAACCGAGAAGTTCGTGGCAATCTCGGTGCTGGTATCTCAGCGCGGCCCTGATCGCCTCTTCGTTCAAATATTGGTAGTTGGCTTGTAACTCTTCGATAGCTGCAAAATGAAGACAATTAGCTCGGCACAATTAATATTGACAGAATAAATCAGTCAAAAAGATGGGCTTACAAGAAGAACCAAAGTTCTTACTGATGTACCAACCAAGCACATCAGCTGTTTCGTAGTTACCAGACACCCAGAAGAAATCGTCATCGTGCATGTCCTTGTCCGACGTGCCGGTCACTAATCGCTCTCTGCCCGATCTTATTTTCAAATAATAGTTGAAACCATCTTTCGTTCTACCGACTGTGTATTGATGCAGGATATCGGCCAGGCCCAGATTTAGAACAAGTCAGTGGTTTAACTCGATCACTCCATTTATGATCCTAGAGGTGTTGGTGGATACTTGTGTTAGAGTGAGCTCGGTGCATCTCAGGAACTCGCAGATCAAGGGTTGCACAAGAAACCGCAGTCCGCCCCTCTACTATGCTCAGCATGGTGAAGGAGCAAGAGTCCAACCTACCCTATGGATTTATGTCCTCCTCACCGAGTTCCAACTGCACGTCGGCCGGGATGTCGTACTCTTCACGGAATGCGGCCTGCACACCCGGTGTGTTAACTAGGAAGCGGTATCACCCTATGGAGAGGCCGGCTTGTTTAGCGTGATAGTGTTAAAATTGGCAAAGTATTGCACGATGGCTGCTCGGTCTTTGAGAGTCCTGGTGTTGGTGTGCCTAGTCACCTAGGACTTTGCAATTAAAAACCAAGTGTAAGTGGAAGTGCGGTCACACAGGTGAGCTTGATTTTAGCTCGGTCACATCAAGCGTTCTCGACAGCTTGGTCTATTGGTTATCTCGGTGGTGCAAGCAGGCCAGATATTAGCCTGGTCACACAACCGAGTATCCGGTGTACCGATTTTCCTCCCCCACCACTCCGCGAACAACGAATTCACCTGGTTGGCTAGCTCTTTCAAATTGAAAACGTGTTTCAAGCCCGGCCGAACCCAGATCCTCATCTGTTCATCGTCTCCTATGATGAACAAGTGGAGACTAGGGGCACTTGGGCCTTAAAATATCAAAAAAAAAATGATGTAAAAACCTAATCATATTCCCTTTGTGGTTTGATTTGGGTGTTTTTGACTCCCTTCATGAATGACTGTGAGAGTTGGGGTTCGAAAAATTAAATAAATACCAAGAGAAAGGAAAAAAGGTATGGGAGAGAGAAGAACTTACGGGTTGATGCACAAATCGAAGCCCCCGGTTGATGGGACACTCTGCAATGGCGACGGCGAGCTCTACTTCACCAGGAAAATGCTTAGGAATGGGTAGATGACGCAGGGGGCAAGATTTGGGTGTGTTTACACTCTGACTAGTCTATGGCGGAGACGGTAAATAGTGGAGACGAAGGGTTGGCTCAGGAAGGATGTATATGGAAGAAGAGGGGGCGCTAAAAATTTGAATTCGAGGTGACGGCGTGTGACGATTGGGTTAGCTGCACGAGGCCAATGAATAGAAGACACGTGTCTGCGATAAGACCGGTGTCAGCATTGAAGAGACAGGCTTAAAAGTCGAAGCGCCGACCGAGCAAATCGGGGAACCGGGTAGATGAGCGACCTAGGTCGGAGAAGGTAATCCCGGTCATGCTGGCGCGGACGGGAATAAGGGGAAATTGAGAGGGAGATTTCATAAATTGGCATTGGGTCGAGCTAAGTCGGGCCAAGTTAGACGGGTCTAGTCGGAGTAACCTAAGACCGCTGGCTCAGTTGAACATATGCGCTCCACTGAGTTAGACGAATTTAGTCTTCCGAAGATCAGGCCGACCGAGCAGAAGCTCAGTTAGAACTAAAGAGCTCGGCTATGCCACAATGAGATTATCAAGGAAGCTGGTCAGGCAGAATGGTTGTATCGTTAAGGTGTGGCACCGCGCTGAGAGTAGCTCGGTTGGAAGTACTACGCGGCTCTGCCAGACTGCAGAAAGGAGGCTCCGCAATTCATACACATTAATTTGGTTTGGCGGTTTCATTAGGTGGTGTTTAGCTGTTTTAGCGTTGACACGTGGGGAAATGTGAGAGGAGAACGGGTCCACGCGTCCCGAAGAGATTGGGCGCAAAAGCCCACGCAGAAACTATATAAACGAGGTTGCGCCTCCATACACAGGGATAGAACATCCTCTGGTGAGAGCTCAACTACCACATTGTCTCCTCTCTTTTCTCTCTCTCTCTCTCTCTCTCTCTCTCTCTCTCTCTCTAAATGTGTGCTGACTTGACCATCGAAAGAGTTTTCCGACAGCGCACCGCCGGGTAGCTCACATTCGTTGTGTTCTCAGGTCGATCAGAGGGAGGCACAGCTTGGACACGAGGAGTATGGACAACGTCGGATATTTGGCCCCCGTACAGCTTTGTTATTGCCTTTTTTTTTTATACATTTGGTAATTTCAATCTAACATAATATTCATATCTGTTAGTGTTTTTTTTGTTGGCACAATGTTTTCAATGCCAGACCTGACTGCCTCCGTTTCAACCACTTCAACCATCAAGCCTTTGGTCTTCTGGTCTTGATTACAAATACATCATATCTTGAATGCACAAGAACTTAAAAAAAGTTATTCCAAAAAATTCTCCACAATTCGGCAACAAAATCACAGAATAGTCTCAAGAATCTAGTTAGGGAATTCACAACCAGAAGCTCCAAGAATTCAATTGTACACAAATTGTATGAAGATATGCTACAACCTAATTGCAAAATAAAATGCATTTACTTTCTAAGTGACAGCCTTATCATGGTAACATTGATTCTCAAAAAGTACAAAAATAAACCTGAAGTGATCTCTTGCTGTCAGGACAACAAAATCGTCTAGAAAAATGAGTCGCCAAGCATTTAAGGCTGTTGGATCTCCGTTGAGATCTTGTAGATCAAACCTATGCAACAACATAACTTATACCAAATAAAGCAAACAAAAGCCCCTCCTCAGAGGCATCCTCTATGCTCTGAAACTCGGAAAATAAAATCACTCACAGAAAAGACCTGAAGGTGCTTATTGGATTTAACCCAGTCAGTTACATTCGAAATAATTCTTTCCTGGATTAAACCCCAATCCGGATTCCCTTTATGGAATAACTTCTCATTCCTAGTTTTCCACAGTTCGCATAAAATTGCCGACGGTAATACATTCCAGATTATTTTTTTTTCTCTCTTTTTCAAATTTAAGTCCTGCCACCATGACAATAGCTCTTTGATTTGTTGCCTTTCTTGTAGCTTTGGTAATTCAAATCTAATCATATTGTTCCTTTCTAGCAGTGTTTTTTATTGCTCTTTGTTGTTTACAACATTTTCAATACCAGACCAGACTAACTCTGGTTCGACCACTTCGACCCTCAACCCAAATATATAATCCCAATTATAAGTTTATTTTGTATTATTAGTTATAAGATTAAAAAATTTACCAATTTTATTGAATAAAATTTCCATCAAAATTTAACTTGGATAACAAAAAGTGTAACCAAACAATAGAATGCGAGTCGTATGAATTAATAATTCCAATTTTATACTATAATCCAGCCAATCAACTAGGCCCTTAGAGATGAGCTTTATATGGAAACTTTCATATGCAAAAAAAAATAAACAAATAAATAAATAATTGAAAAACTCAAAACATTTGCTGCAATAGAAGAGATATATAGATTAGTAAACATATTAGATTAAGCCATAGATTTTAACTCAAGACAACACTGAACTGTTTCTAATTCATAACAGCTTGTGCTTAGCTAAACTCATCAAATAGCTCAACTTGTCTCCCATTCAATGGTTGCACAGGCCTACTATTTTTCTTGCATGTTGCTTTCACAGGAGCCTTCAAAGCTTCTATCTGTTCTTTAGATATTGATCTCTCCTGCATTTTTTTGCACCCTATTATTAAATTATGCATGTACAAGGATCGAAATTTCATTTCGATGTATTGTTTTAATTAGTATGGAAACATAAATGTTTTGAACACTTTAACAACAAAAATGAATTTGAGGTGCATAAAAATGATTGGAAACATAAATTGAAATCCATTAAATGTATAAAAGTTTGATAATTGATTATTTAAAAATATTGAGATTTATATAGTTATTCACATAAAAGATTAAGTATAAAACTTTTTAAAAATAAAAAAATAAAAGTGTTTTTACAAAACAAAAATTATTAAGTATTGTCAAATTAATAGCTCAATTTTATTAAAGACGAGTGTAAAAAATCACAACAAATAAGGTTTTCAATTTTCTTTAAAAAATTAGTAGTAATAGAATTTCTAAATTAGAAGTAACAATATTTATTCACATAGTAAAATACAACCTTTCATTTTTTTTTTCCTGAAAAAATATAAAAAAAATAATGAAGTATTCTAAATCCACGTCGACAAAGATTATTATTCCAATGTAGCGCACTGTGTTTTGGTGTGTTTTGATGGAAACAAAATAAATTCTTTATTCTATTATTATTTTTAATTGAGTTTTAATTTGGTGTCTTAGACCATCTCCAACGCTTCACCAAACCTTGCATCAGATTTGAAATTTGGTGAAAAAGTCATTTTTTGCAGCTCCAATGGTTTCATCAAATTGGTATCAAAACGAGAATTCACCAAATTTTTCATCAAAGTGAGAACAGGGGGGAAGATTTCACCAATTTACTATGCGTGACTGTTGGGGGAGACCAACCGGTCAATCAGCCGGTTGACCGGCCGGTTGACCAACCAGTCGACCGGTTCCCTTGCAAATAGGTTGGTTCAAAGAGGTCAAAAGGTTCAAAGAGATAAAAAAAAATACACTAACTGGTCAACCGACCGGTCGACCCATCGGTCGACCCCTGCTTTGATGACAATCATTGGAGCAGTCTGTATCAGATTGAGAAAATGATCTTTTTTTTACTCAGATTTAGTGAAAAATTTGATAAACCGTTGAAGATGCTCTTAAAAAACATAAACATTTTAGTTATTCCATTGGAAACAGACAAATGAAAGTTTTGTTCCTTTGTAAGTATATATGGATGCACTTTGTTGATGAAACGAACTTATCTAACCTTGCCAAAGATGTGCCAGATAACATTCTCAGTGCACGGAGGAGTAGTGAGAGAACCAATATATCTATAATACTTGCGTGTATTTCGCCTCAATTTCCAGGTGTCATAGGTCCCAACGGCGATTTGATCTTGATTTGTAAACACCTCCTTAGCTAGCTCAGCTAATTTACTTTGGATCTACAACCATGAAACATCACAACACCTATTAACTTATCAAACACTTCCATTCACTAGAATTTCAATATCAAGTTCTTCTACTTACCACAAGGGGTGACAGGTAAACATATGATTAAATGCAATAAATTTATATACACTCTACCTTGGCAATAATAGGATCAGCATCACCAATTTTATAAAGGATGGCTATAACTGCGAGGCTTCCATCACTAGCCATGTGGACTAGATGAAGCTCTACATCAAATCTATAATTATGTAAAACATAAATTAAAGTCAAATTATAAAGATGAAAAATATAATTTACTTAGTTTTTTATTTGAACAATCTATAAAAAAAATAAAAAAAGAAAAAACATGAGACAGAAAAAGAACATACGTGACACCATGGATTTTGTGCTCAGAAGGAGAATGCCAGTGCATTTGAAGCAAGGTGTAGTTCTTGCCATTTAAAATCAAGACTCCAGCATTTCCAAATACCAGCTACATATTGATAAATAATTCTTCATTGAGCAAAAACATGTACAACAATGTGTGCCATAGTCAAAGCCACAAAAGTGAATGCTTATAATCCAAAACCATTTTACTATTGTAGTTACTAAACATTCTCTGTTTTTTTAGAGGTGCTATTATTATGTAAATTACAATTTCCAATCTAAAAAAAATAATAAAAAAAAAATCACATAAGATAATGTAACAATGACTTATTTAAAATTAAAGCTTATAAATAAATAGACCTTTTTAGCTTTAAGTGATCCTAGTCAAATAAGTCACACCAATTTATACAAAATTTTACATAGCAAGAGAAATAACACTTCCATCTAACTTTAGAAATTATTTTGCCATGTTGCACGGTATCACCCCTTGTATGTCTAGCAAACATTGGCCCGGTTTATTGGAGCTACTTTTTTTTTTTTCTTCTTTTTTCTCTGAAAATCTATGTCAAAGTATATGGTACAACTTCTTATAATTTATGAGGCAAAAATAATTTAAACAAGTTAGAAAAAAAAAAATTGTTTATCTCAAAAGTGGGGGAGGAATATTTACTTTTAGCTTTTACTTTCTCAAATAGATTAAGTAACGCTTTGAAATCCAAAATAATTAAAAGATTTCTCGACAAACTTCTTGCAAAGACACAAACGAATATCCAAGTGTACATAGCATTCCAAGTGTACTCACAAGTGTAATCCATACCTCAAAATGCTAGAAAATCAATTTTATGCTTTCTTGAAATAACTTTCAATTTTAATTTAATTATGATGGTTGTTGGTACCAAAAGTAAAAGGAAGGCCAAAAACATACCCCAACGTTGTAGCCATGGTTAACCAATGTAGCGTTTGCAGGATAATATTCTCTTCTTAAGGGCTTCAAGTTTTTATTACGAACAACTTTGTTCTTTACAATGTCAATTGGAGACTGCGCTTTTCCATTCGAGCATGTCGCGTAAAGAGGGCTCAAGCTTCCCCATTTGTCAGGGCCGGTGTTGCCAGAATAACTGAACACAGGAGCTGTTCCAAGCTCTGGCGATAAAAATTTAACAAAAGTAATTAATATCATCAGTTTGAAAGTAAACAAAATTAATCATTTGTTGGTTGGGAGGACATGAGCAATATTTTCTTTTGATCTTAAAGCTATGTTTTGTTATCAAAACTATTATGCAAAATCGTGAAAAAATTAAAGCAAATAGACAAGATATATGTACTACATCCACAGAAATAAGGACATCAAATTCACTATGTATAATAAAAATTATAGAACTCTAAACTTATCAATTGAACCGTTCAATGAATTCGATTTGTTCATGAATTTAATTGAGAAAAACTTATTAGATAGTCAACAGTATCATGTTGCATTGATTACTACATAGGTCATCTGTATCATTCTTTATTTCTCAAAAACTTAACAAGGTAAGTAAATATTGTCCCACTCATAATGTTTTTTGTTACAACATTGGTTAGAACAGCACATGCACCAATTGAATTTTCTACAATGATTATTGCAAAGGATAATTGTGTTTTGGACTTAAACTATCTGTGTAAATCACCAATGATGTTGTTTTGGGACTAAACCACTTAACCTACTATGGCAATATTATTGCGAGGGTGATTATTGTAAAAACTTTTATAGGATTAAAATTCTTTGAAATAATTAAGATCTTTGCAAAGTAGGATTCAAAAACACCCCTCCTTCAACTTTCAAATAATCAAATTTTTTCAACTTATTTAATCTATTTCCACCTAATAAGCTGTAAGTTGACTAAACATCATTATTGCAAGAATGATTTTGAAGGCTTAAACTATCGAGTACTTCAATCATCATTAATTATGTTTTGAGTTTAAATGAGATAATCATAATTCTCTTATACATGTTGTAAAATGATTCATAAACAAAAAAAAATCTCATAAAAATAATATGACAGTGATAGTTTGGAAATTATAATCATTTATATGGGCCTTCTAGTTTGAAATGAATAAACACACATTTGTCACCTCGTTTTATTTAATTTTTTTTTATAACTATTATACTTGTATATAACCATTCTTACATGGCTATAACAAGGTGATGGAGACATGGTTGATTAGAATTAGTAGCGGTTAGGGACATTTGACTTGTTTGTTTCACGTTTGGATAAAAACATGAAGCTTTTAAGATGATTTTTTTAAATTGTACGTTACATACAAGGTACAACCTTTAAAGCTTGCATAAATTATCGGACTCCCAAGCAAGAATTAGGATTTACTGTGTTATTTTATTTTTATTTTTTGGTAATAATCTCATTGTAGGAATTCGAGGGTTCAAATTTGAACCCTATCTAATACCTTCTTCTGTCTTGTCTGATTGTATGTGTAGCTTAAAATAAAAATGCAATATTTTACTTTAGTTTTAAACTTGATCATTAAATTTTATTTATTTTTTACTGATGTATTATACTGTGATAAAAATTATAACGAAACCATTGCACCAAAAAAAAATGGTATATGATCTTGATCACCAATTAAAGGCAACAAATGGAGTTCATGAAAAAAAATAACAAACTTCTTTCAATATTCACATTTCCCATTTGATCAAAATTTTCACTCATTTTTTTTTTTTCCCTGTATATAGAACGTGTAATTGATAGCGAAATCTTGATGATTCTCTGTAAGTTTTCTTGGAAAAACAAAAGTTAAAAGGAAAAAAACAAAAAACATTTCACAATAACAATAAACTCTATTAGAAAATGCAAAAAAAAATATATCATAAAAAAAAAAAAAAGCCATAAAACAAAGGAATTCTAAACATAGTGTAGAACTTCTTCAAACCTTTGTGTTTCAAAAAAATCACAACTCTTAAAAATAAAAACTTGATCTTTTGAGACACAGATAAATAAGACACACACACACATATATATATATATATATATATTGTTGGGGTTTTAAGGCTAGTCCACCTGAAATATTAGAAATAATCTACGCAACAATGACACACAATATTTATGTGGTTCGGCCTCAATGCCTATGTCCGCAGATAGAACAAGAGATTTCTAATAAAATAAATAGAGTTTACAACGGAAGATGAGACTCTCTCACTCAACTCACACGCTCCTCTACTGTTTTACACTCTCAGCTCTCTTCTCACCTTCACAGAGATACACACTCGTGTATTCTGCCACACTCTTCCTTGTGTTCTACTTGCCTCTTGCAAGCTAACTCAATATATAGAGGGAGAGGCCACAGTTCATCCCACTCCCATATGAAAGCATTAACTTGCGACCTTCCTAATACTGTGTTTGATTGAGAGATTGGGGAAGGAATTTGAAAATGAAAGAGAAAAAAAATGTGTAAAATTATATAAAATGTAAGTATATTTTATAAAAATGTGTGAAACTATATTTTATTCACATTTCTTCTACCTTTTTTATTTTCCTTACCAAATCTCTTCCCAAATCCCACAACCAAATACAGAATAAGTGTGGCTTGTCTCCCTAGCTTCTCTTTCACCATTGTCTACTCTCCATTCATGCCAACCAATGTTAACAATGGTGGCTACCTCTATCCACATGGGTGAACTCAACATATATATATACCCACACCACGTGTAAGATAAGTAATCTTAACTGTTTGATCCTAGTTTCCAACTTCCATTTGAAGAAGATGCAAAGTAAATGCATATAAGAAATGGGCAAACACGGAGAGAGAGAGAGAGAGAGAGAGACATACCCTCCAGATCTAGGTCGGTAGAATTGGCAAAGCAGTGGAGAAGCAACAATGCAGAGGCTACAACGAAGAAGGCGAATCGGGCAGCCATTGCAGGCAGCTGTAAGTAATTCTGATTCTCTCCAAGTCTTTTTTTCTCTTTTCCTGCTGTTCTTTCTTCTCAACCAAACAAAGTTTATATACTTTTATTTGTGTAATACACTACAGTTTCTATGTTCAGAATTCAATTTTATATATAATGCCAGAGGTACTAGTCTTAGAATTTTTTTATTTTTTTATTTTTTTTGATATTCAGAACACCCTCAAGGCAGGATTCTTAGAATCCACTCTTACAAGCCAAACTAGGGGAAGCTAGCCGATCCACCTAAACCGTTGGACTTCCACTTAAACAGTAGGAGATTCGAAGCTTGATCTTAGAATTCTAAAATTGCCCTTCCCCTGTATTTCCATTTTACTAAGCTTATTTCCCAATAGTCCCTCACATGGATCCGGATCCTCTCTCCCAAAATCCGTATTTGTTTGGAGCACTTTTTATTGTTAATGTTTTCATTTTATCTTGAAAAAAACCAATTTTTCAAAGATACTTTTAAATTATTTTTTTTGAATTTTTGAAAATTATGTTTACACAAAAAATTTGTAAAAAAGGGTTGATGTTTTCAAACTTTCCAAATACAAATTGCTAAGCAAGTTTTATGTGACAATTTCCATTTTTGAGAATGGAAAACAAAAAATAATAATAATAATAAATAATAAATAATATCCAACACTTTCTTATTCTAAGATTTTTTTATTTAAAAAATATCACATTAGACGAAAATAATTGACTCCAACATATAACAGTATAGTAACAAAATAAAGTAGTTGTGCAAGCCCTGTCCAGTCCCAAACCGAGCCTATACTCATCTTCCCACGCTTGTAAATTGGTCCCTTTTTTCAAAATTTTTTTTTTTTTATTTGCTTTTTTTGGGGGGAAAGTATGTGTGATGTTGAACATTAAAAGAAAGAAAGTAAAATTATGAATTATGTAGCTCAAGTTTAGATAACATTTGCAGCAACTTTTTCTTGGGGGTGGGTAGGGACAAGTGTATCATTTCATGTAGAAAGAGATTGAATTTTATTTATTTATTTATATTTTTTTTAGGGAATATAGAACAACTTCATTAAATCTTGTAAAAAACAAAAAGTCACCAACCAAGAATCTGAGGCATAAGTGATGAACCATCCTAACACTAGAGTGTGATAAAAAATTATTCAGTGTTACTTTCGGTATTATTATAAATACTTCTCAATTATTCAATTAGAAGATTTATTTAAGAAATTCTTTGTCTCAAAATTATATCTCCTTGCCCTGCTCTTCTCCCAATTGCATGATGTGATAAATTTTAATATATAAAATGTCATGGCTAAGAAAGGGATTGGCATAGGGGACAAGGGGTTTTTTGGAATAAATAATCATGTTCTTGATTTATTATTATATTTCACATTTCATATTCTAAATAAAAAAAAATTATTATTTATACAAAATTTGTCACTCAAATAATATAATAATGACTTTTTTATAATTAAATATCATTTAAATAGACACTATTTTAAAATGAGAAATTCTTATACGACCACATTATAAATTTTGTATTATATTTTAGTATATAACTAGTCATTTCCAAGGATTAGTCGGACGGTGGGTTGTTGTGATTGCTCTCCCGAGAATTAGTCAGACGGGTCAAAAATCAAAGCCCAAATACCTCAGTTATCAAAAAAAAAAAAAAAAACTAATCATTTCCAAGTAGTATAAAGGAATGAATAGTTAGAAATTTGACTCCAACAATGGAACAAATATACTTCAATAGGTGCATTGATACCTTCAATGTACCCACAGTTTCAAAGGCCATTAGTTGGGTGTATTTAGCGATATTTTGAAAAGTTAATAAAAAGTTAATTTTTTGATTTTTTTTGTGATTTTTCGACTTTTTTGTATTAAAAAAGCTAATTTTTTATGACTTTTTTGTATAAAAAAGTTAAAAAATCAAAAAGCTAAGTTTTTATCAAAGTTTCTAAAACACCCCTTAATTCTTCCTCTTTTTTTTCTTTTTTTTTTTTCCTTTTGTTTTTGTTGAGAGATAATTCGATAATTCTTTCTTGATTAATAATAAAAACCTATGTGATGAGAAGATATGAAGCCATGGGAAGTCTAATACCATATGGTTCAAACGAATGTTGGCAAATGTATTGATAATTAAATTGTTCTAGTTAGTATGTGATAAAATAGTATAATGCTATATGTACTAAATCAATTAATTCACTAATTAATATATTAATTGATGATAAAATAATTTTTGTATTTGTAATTTGTATAATAAGTGGAGCCAATAATAATGTAATAACTAGTGTTGGTACACTAATTAATATACTAATTGGCGTATGTAGCACCACTTAATAAAATAAGAGCTACTGCATAAGAAATGGTAGTTTTCAAATCCAATAAAGTACATAAAATAAAGAAAACAGAAAAATTATGTAAAATGTAGCTCAAGTTTAGATAACATTTGCAGCAACTTTTTCTTGGGGGTGGGTAGGGACAAATGTATCATTTCATGTAGAAAGAGATTGAATTTTATTTATTTATTTATATTTTTTTTAGGGAATATAGAACAACTTCATTAAATCTTGTTAAAAACAAAAAGTCACCAACCAAGAATCTGAGGCATAAGTGATGAGCCATCCTAACACTAGAGTGTGATAAAAAATTATTCAGTGTTACTTTCGGTATTATTATAAATACTTCTCAATTATTCAATTAGAAGATTTATTTAAGAAATTCTTTGTCTCAAAATTATATCTCCTTGCCCTGCTCTTCTCCCAATTGCATGATGTGATAAATTTTAATATATAAAATGTCATGGCTAAGAAAGGGATTGGCATAGGGGACAAGGGGTTTTTTGGAATAAATAATCATGTTCTTGATTTATTATTATATTTCACATTTCATATTCTAAATAAAAAAAAATTATTATTTATACAAAATTTGTCACTCAAATAATATAATAATGACTTTTTTATAATTAAATATCATTTAAATAGACACTATTTTAAAATGAGAAATTCTTATACGACCACATTATAAATTTTGTATTATATTTTAGTATATAACTAGTCATTTCCAAGGATTAGTCGGACGGTGGGTTGTTGTGATTGCTCTCCCGAGAATTAGTCGGACGGGTCAAAAATCAAAGCCCAGATACCTCGGTTATCAAAAAAAAAAAAAAACTAGTCATTTCCAAGTAGTATAAAGGAATGAATAATTAGAAATTTGACTCCAACAATGGAACAAATCTACTTCAATAGCTGCATTGATACCTTCAGTGTACCCACAGTGTCAAAGGCCATTAGTTGGGTGTATTTAGTGATATTTTGAAAAGTTAATAAAAAGTTAATTTTTTGATTTTTTTTGTGATTTTTCGACTTTTTTGTATTAAAAAAGCTAACTTTTTATGACTTTTTTTGTATAAAAAAGTTAAAAAATCAAAAAGCTAAGTTGTTTTCAAAGTTTCCAGAACACCCCTTAATTCTTCCTCTTTTTTTTCTTTTTTTTTTTCCTTTTGTTTTTGTTGAGAGATAATTCGATAATTCTTTCTTGATTAATAATAAAATCCTATGTGATGAGAAGATATGAAGCCATGGGAAGTCTAATGCCATATGGTTCAAACGAATGTTGACAAATGTATTGATAATTAAATTCTTTTAGTTAGTATGTGATAAAATAGAATAATGCTATATGTACTAAATCAATTAATTCACAAACTAATATATTAATTGATGATGTGACATAATTTAAAATAATTTTTGTATTTGTAATTTATATAATACGTGGAGTCAATAATAATGTGATAACTAGTGTTGGTATACTAATTAATATACTAATTGGTGTATGTAGCACCACTTAATAAAATAAGAGCTACTGCATAAGAAATGGTAGTTTTCAAATCCAATAAAGTACATAAAATAAAGAAAACAGAAATACACAAGTTTTAATTTTTCTTTTTCCTCGATAAAAAAAGGGTAGGATGGGACGAACAATCTTCTTGGACGTGACTAAAAGAATCTCTGCTTGCTAGAAGCCGAACATGAGAGGCTTAAATGGACCCTTCAAAGCTGTGGTCCTCAAATACTTTCTTATGACGGGGCATAGTTTGACTCTAGTCACATCGCCCTCATAAAGATTCGACTTGTCCACAAAATTCAATGGGAGTGAGTTCCCACCCGCTAAAAACTATCACAAAACAAAATTACCAGTTTTTTTTTTTCTTTTTCTTTTTTTTTTCTTTTTTGGCAAAAGATAAGAAATTGTCCTTAGGGAAAAATAGGTTCAATCTACAAATTGTTTGCTTCAGAGAAAGTAAGCTCTTTTATAATCAAGGTCACAAGGTAGATTTTTGTTGTAAATTTTTTTGTTTGTTTTTTTTTAAGTATGGATCATCTGAATTCAATTGTGAGTTAGTTATAAAGTGGTGTTTTGGGAAGTTGATAAAAAGTTAATTTCTTGACTTTTTTAGTCTATTTTGTCTTTTTATAATTAGAAAATGTGAAATATGATATGACCCAAAATAAATAAAAAGCTAAAAGTTGACTTTTTATTTGGTTGCCAAAGCACCCCAAGTAAACATTTTATCTTTATAATTGTTTGGTTGGCCCTTTTGGGGTCTTTTGTTTTCCTTTTTAATCTGTATGTTATTTATTTTATTTCAACTAGTAGCGGGTGACACACGCGATACATATGCAATTTAAATAAGTAAGAATAAAAATAAATAATAAAGAAAGTAATATTGTAATATGTAAATTGCTTAAATGATATGTGTGTTCATAATGAAATTCAAGCTCTTGGTTCAAACCTTACTTGCGTTTCAATATAATAATTTTCTATTTTAGATATAAAAATTTGTCATGTGACATGAAGAGAAGGTCTGGAGGTTTAGACATCAAATTCAGCGTTCACATATATAATAGTATAGATAGATAGATGGGATATAACTACTTTTTCATGTTTTAAAAAAATACAACAAAAGAGAGAGATAGAGAGATAAAAATTTGTCACATGGCATGAAGAGAAAATTTAGAGGTTTAGACACCAAATTCAGTGTTCGCATATATAATAATATAGATAGATAGATATATGGGATATAGCTATTTTTTCATGTTCTAAAAAAAATACAATAACATATATATATAAAAAAAAATACAATGAGAGAGAGAGAGAACAAACAAGAAAGAATACAATAGTAGAACGCAACAACAATCATGCTGCTCCACTGTTTTTGCAGATGCCACTTTTGCCACTACTGATGTACATTGTATAAGCCACAAATTCCTTGATAGTGCAATCCATTATTAAAAAAAAGTTACCAATGGACCATCAAACCTAAAAACAAAAACAACATAAAACCAAAAAAAATGTAAGGGGAGATACCTGCTTATCAATAATCCATCGGTGTTGTTTGGTATAACTTATTATAAGTTAAAAATTGATAATCACAAAGTAGAAATCAAAAGCACTCATTCTCAAGTTTCTAAATAATCAACTTTTTTTAGTTTATTTAAGCTATTTTGCTAAAAAACTGTAAACAGAAGTTACATCAAACAGTCTAACACAAATTTTTAAATTAAAATAAATTATAATCACTCCTATAATCCACACCAAACACCCCATCATTGTCCAATTCTGAAGACAAATACAACTTTCCCCTGCTAACACGTTGTCCACTTACCAATGGATTGGTACCACCTCTACAATCACCAATGTTCCACGTGCTCCGCGTGCCACATGTTGCCACCTCACAGGTTCACATCTCTAATCCTAAAATAAACAGAAAACAAAAGTTAATAAATAAATAATCAATCAGTGCAGGTTGGTGCTTCTTGCTCATTTGAAGTGCCCTGGATGTGGGGTGTTCTGTGTTCAAGAAATGAGAAATACCTACCAATATCTTCTAGGCTATTCATCGGACTAAAGAAAAATAACAATAGCATATGATTCAACAATCACTACCGACCAAACTAATAAATTATACGATTTTAGGTCCTTGATTTTATTATTTTTTAAAGTTTCTTAATGTTTGAGAAATCTTCGTCATTGAATTTGACAGAAAGCAGAACCTCTTAACCAACCACGTGTGATGGTCAACCAACGTTAAACTTTGGAATCTCTAAATTGCTGTAACCACATCGGAAAAATAAAATAAAATATAAAAAAATCATATCCTACTCATTTTGTTCCTACTTCTGAAGTCTCTGCTTCAATATTATATTTATGTAGTTCTAACCACACAATTGGAGAAGATGCATTAGAAAGTGGAAGATGAATAAAGCTAACCCCTTGAAAGAAAGTAATTCAAACTTTTGTTACCACACAAACACCATATACAGGGACAACTCAATAGTTCAACTTCAAAATTACTATTTGGATAAAAGACAATTTTAAGTATGCATTATTTGTAATTTTAGTCCATGAAGTTTCAATTTTGTTGGTTCTCAAAATTGTCATTTTGAGTCAATTTGGTCTTATTTCTAACGTCTGTTTATTTGGATAACGGAAAAAGTATTTTATCCTTTGGTAAAAGACAATTTTGGTGGATGTTACAGTAGATGTGTGGCAAGAATAAAAAAGATAGAGTTAGGAATGAGTATATTTATAAATAAGTAAGAGTAGCACCGATAGAAAATAAGCTAAGAGAGAATAGATTGAGATGGTTTGGTCGTATACAACGGAGACCAATAGAGGCAGTAGTGAAGAGATGCAATACAGTAACGGTAGATGGAAATGTTAGAGAAAGGAACAAACCTAGATTGATGTGGGCTAGTGTAGTAAATAGAGATATAAATTTCCTTAATTTGACTAACCAAATGGCCTTTGATAGAGTTTGGTGGAGAAGAATGATTCATATAGCTAATCTCATTTGATGAGACTTAAGGGTTGATTTGGTTTGGTTAGGTTAGTAAAAGACAATTGTAGTCCCTAAAGTATACGTTTCTTGTCATTTTAGTCCATAAAGTTTTAAATTTTATCATTTTAAAAGTTGTTAATTTAGGGACCAAAATGACAAGAAACACATACTTTAGGGATCAAAATTGTCTTTTATCCATATTATTGTTATCAATGAAGACGAATGTTAGACTTAGGACCAAATTGATTCAAATTGACAACTTTGAAGACCAAAATGGCAATTGAAATTTAAGGGACAAAAATGAAAAATAATACATACTTCGGGGACTAAAAGTATCTTTTATCCTTAGTATCATTGATAAAACTGAAACTTTCTGAAAGAAAGCCCCATAGGTATAGTTTGAAAGCAATCTAGGATCTCAATAGTAATTAGTTTAGAAGCATACGCATTAGATGATGCAGAATGTAGTATTCAGCTCGCGCTCATAATTAATGTCCTTTAGTATTGAATATTAAGGCCTGGATTCGGTACTCAAAAAATAATCAAAAAGTCAAAAAATTACTTAAAAAGTTAAAAAGTTATCACTATTCACCTAAAAAAAATATTAAAAAATTAATTTTACACAATCTTCCTTGTCAAACAACTCTGACGGCAGAGCAACGATGCTGACTTGTGGGAAAAATTGCACTTATTTAGATATACAAATAACACGGTGCTATTCGGTCCGTGGGGGCCCATCACGGGTCCTTTTTTAATAATCTGAATCGTTCAATGTGTAGAACTCGTCAAGTACTATATGTTTGTAAAAATCACATTGATCAGATATCGGTAACTATATGATCAAATCAGTTAAAATTTATAAAATGAATGGTGTTATAGTTAACGGTTGAAAACAACTAATCCGATCAGATAGCTATCGATATCCGATCAACATAATTTTTTACAAGAATATAGTACTCGACGAGTTCTACATATTGAACAGTTTTGATTAGCAAAACGGGACCTGTGGTGGCCCCTCACAGGCCGAACAGCACCTCCAATTCAATGCCCGAAAAGCAGGGAATCATCTCCCAGCCCCTACTCTGCCGATGCTGTCCCTCAATTCATCCTATTGTACAGCCTATTCCATCCAATCTTCTCCTATACACTAATTTATACAATTTTTTAATACACATTTTTTCGTAAAAAGTCAAAAAGTTATTCCAAACAATCATCTTTTTTTTCCTCAACTTTTTAGCCTAAAAAGACAAAAAGTGCACTTATTTAGGACACTCCAAACAACTCTTAAGTTTCTTCTTGTTATTATTAGGGTTTTAGTTTCCTATTTTATTTGTGTTGTAAGACTATATAAATAAGATGTTTTGGCATTGCATTCGACTGAGTTTTGGCATTGCATTCGACAGAGTTGTGGCCTTGTGTAACTAGGGTTGTAGTCCTTACGTTCTTCCTCTATCCTCTTTCTCCCTCTACATTCTACATCATTAGACCTATCCGGATATGGAAAAAAGGCACAATTTTCTTGAGGCTAGCATAAACTGAGTGCCTATCTGCTTGAAGGGAAGGAACCAAATTCTTGACACCACCATCAATATGCTATAAAAGAAAACAACCTTTATGCAAGGTGGGGATGTTATAGAAGCCCATTCTGTGAACATGCAAGACTCTTACCTTCCACAAAAAATGGCTTGGGCAAAAGGCTAACAATTGACAACTCTTTTGTTCTAAACTTCACAACAGGGATATACAAAGATACTTGGCAAAAGGTGGGTCAACTTAGATATACATCACTGACACTCACGCTAAAACCTTTTGAAACTATTTTTTCATGTTGAATTTAGGTGAAAATTTCAGTAACATTCATCTTTCTTAATTTTTTTTTTTTTTTTTTTTTTTTATTATTTTGGAAAAAGACTCACCTAAACTTCTAGAAGCAATTTTCCACTTTCTATGAAACTCAAACAGCATAGCCAAAAGACCATCTTCTTCTATTCATCTTAGTTAGATCACCAATTATCCCAAAGCTTAAAGCCATTAGTAAATGGATACAACAATATATATCAAGTTATCTTATAGTCCCTCACATGTGACCTTATCTTGTAAGTGGAGAGACACACAGATAATCCACAAACAGCATTAAACAGGTGTACAAACATAACACAGGAAACAAAAAAATAACCTAGGGCCTCCTAAAATCACGAAGTTTTGATACCTTATTAGATCATGTATTGTTCGGAAAGCTTATGCTATTATTAGTAAATTTGTCAAACAAACGAAGTACTTCATTGCCGTTTTCTATACCTTTGATAAATTCAATTTAACATAATATTCCTTTCTATCGGTGAGTTCACTGATTTTTGTAGGCACAATGTTTTCAATACCAGACCAGACTGCCTCCATTTCAACCACTTCAACCATCAAGCATTTGGTCTTCTGGTCTTACATTTACACAATGACGAATCCATTTTTTAGAACCACACAGTTAAGCGGTGATATGCTTAAACCAACAATGGTTTTGTTCAGTATACACATATATCATATCTTCAGTGCATACAAGGACTCAAAAAAGATATTCCAGAAAATTCTCTATAATTTGGAAACAAAATCACAGCATAGTCTCAAGAATCTAGTTAGGGAACTCACAAATCAGAAGCTCCAAGAATTCAATTGTACGCAAATTGTATGAAGATATGCTACAACCTAATTGCAAAATAGAATGCATTTTTACTTTCTAAGTGACATCCTTATCATGGTAACATTGAATCCCAGAAAGTATGAAAATAAACCTATAGTGGTCTCCTTGCTGTCAGGACAACAAAATTGTCTGGAAAACTGAGTCGCCAAGCACTTAAGGCTGTTGGATCTCCATTGAACACTAAAAACCAGTGACAACTTGTAAAGATTCACTGAGGGCACACACACAAACACATCCACATAAAATTACTCGCAATTTTTTTTGGCAAACTCCAAAACATTACCTCAATGGTAATGACTATATAGCTAAGCAGAAGTTATGCCAGTGTAATTAAGCATTATATAATCAACAAGAGCCAAATGTAAAAGTCAAACTTCTGACTCTTAGTTTTGTCTAACTGCTAGTTTTGACCACATTAGTAATGATTTTCTCTCATTAATATTTTTATGATGGTAATTTTTGCAATTTCATATACTTTTTTTCTTCTTTTCCTTCGCTCAAATAACTTTATGCCAGCTATTAACTAGTCAAAAGTTAAAAGAATCCTTATTCAACAACCATACTAAACTTGTATTAAGTCCTTCAATAACCCTTACTAAACCCCTACTAAGTCATTCTTTGTAGCCTTTCTTGCAGCTTTGGTAATTCCAATCTAATCATATTATTCCTTTCTAGCTGTGTTTTTTATTGGTCAGTTTACAACGTTTTCAATACCAGACCAGACTCCCTCCGGTTCAACCATGGACCATCAACCATTTGGCTTTCTGGTCCCGTATTTTACCTATGAATCTATGATGAGTACATTTTTAGAACCATTTCATATTCTTAAATTCCTCTAAACCATGTGCTTAAGCAGTGACCTGTTTAAACCATTGATGGATTCACTGAACCATCTTGGTTTTGTTCACTATACACATATCATATCCTGAATGCACACATTGACAAACAGATATTTCAGAAAATTCTCCATAATTTGGCAACAAATTGCTGAATAACCAGAAGCGGTGAGGCAATTTTTCACAAATGCAATCTACACAAATTGTTTGAAAATATACTGACAAGTCTACAACCGAATTGCAAAATAGAAGCATTTTCTTTCTGAGTGACAGCCTTGTAATGGTAAAATTGAACCACCAGCTAGTATGAAAAATAAACCTGATGTGATCTCCTTGGTGTCAGGACAACAAAACTGTGTGGAAAACTGAGTCGCCAACCACCTAAGGTTGTAGGACCTCCATTGAACAGTCAAAAAACTGGTGACGCTTTACAAAAACTAAGAAGCAATCATTGACAATTATATATGTAAAAATATATGAAGAAAGAAATTCAATGGTGAAAAACTCTCATATTGAATAGCATTTGAGAAAATTTGGTGGGTTAGTACAAGATTCTTTTGTAGACCACACCATCTAACTTTTTACCAGTTGCTTCTTCAATTCAGAATGCCATGTCCCTATGACAAAAATTACTCAAAGTTAAGTGTAAGGTGAAAGAATTCACTAAGTGTACCACATGTAGGCCAAAGAAGAATAACAAAAGTTTCCAAATCCAATGATAGGAGTACAGTTTGCATCAATATACATTCAGAAAGGGGGCGAGGGGGCACCGAATTACTATATAATAATTCGTGCAAATTACTGTTTACATCAAACACCAAGTGAAGGCACCTCATTCTGTTAAAAGTGAAAAAGACATTCAATGCATCTTTTAAATGATTTTTTTTTTTTAATAATGAATACAAACATATACAAGAGCAAAAGAAGCAAAACCTCAAAAGACATTGGAAACTTTTGCTCTTAAAGAGCATAAGTTGCTCTTAAATATTCAGCTATCTCTGCACTCTCAAACATTTGCACTCCGGTATTTGGATCTTCTAAATAAGGTACCTGTAAACAGTTGTAGTGAACATAACACAATTATTTGATGCCAAGTGAAGCAGCAGGCAATATACATAATATGCACATATGTAGAGAAATACTCTGTCTTCACTTCTATAGCATAGTGTTCTACCCTACGTGACCTAAAAAGCAGATTGCCAGGAATAGGAATGTGGTAAGTACCCCACATGCTCTAAAATGTGGTGCAACAGGAGTATAATTCTCTCTCTCTTTGGCCTTATCTGGTGAAATTGCCAAAAAAGATGCTCTACGATTGGAGAAAGGTGATATACAGAAGTGTCGTTTTCATTTTTTTCTTGATATATTTTTGTGCAGAATGACTAAATGAATTTAATCCTAGTGAGGTAGTGGGGATATGTACAGTCTAAAAAGGCTAGGATTCTAATCTAATACAAGCGAAGTAGAATAGTTCTCATCATTGGAGGTGCAACTTGGGCGGGCTCAACCCAAGCCCAACTTGAATTTTTTTAGGGCTTGGGCAACATATTTTGGAATTGGACGCAGTTTGGGTGAAAATTCAAAAGCTTGAATTAAATTCGGGCCAAGCTTGGATAGAGACATCAAGCAACCCAAGCCTCAATTATATAAAAATACTATATATATAAATCATTAATTGTTGAATGATGTTAAAATTATCTAGACCATTAGATCATATTAACTATATATCATATACACAAGTAATACAACACAAAACCCTATCATTTCCTTTTCTCACTCAGAAATGACAAAAACTAGTGAAGCGGCACATAGGTTCCTTGATTCTCATCTCTCGATCCTTTTTGTGTATCTTTCATCATATAAATTATTTGTTTTGATGTTACTGATTATTTCGCCAAAATAAAAAAAAATGTTAATAGAGTCTAACTTTAACAAATTAAACAACCTAGCAAAACAAGACTCAAATTTGTAGGCAATTCGAGCCTAGCCCAAGTTCAATTTATTATGCTCGGTTTGGGCTTGGGCAAACCAGTTCAATTTTCAAGTCAGGCTTGGGCTACTCTTAGCATAACTCGGGTTAGGCTTGGGCAACCTGTCAACATGACCGAACCTGTCCAAGTTGCACCCCTACTCGTCATATACGTATGTGAATGAAATGAAAAATCATTGAAGAATTAAAAGGAGAATACCTGGAAATGTCCAGTTTTCTCATATAGTATCTGTCGTTTTGGGCTGCCACGAGCACAACTGCAAACAAAAAGTATTAAGAAAACCTTAAAATAAAAATGAACAGCTTTCTGCTACACAAAAAATATAGCAAAAAGTTTCAAAATATATTCTACTAAGGGAAATACCATAAAAGTGTATCAACTATTGGAGTCAAGACAATCTATAAACCAGTAATATCCCTAGAGCCAATGACTAATCAATTCAACTCAATCAACAAACCTTTTCTTTAACTGCTTAAGTTTGACAATATGAATCTTACTCACTAATCTGCTCTACATATATACTTTATGCCAAGTGTTGCTGTAGGATGTCTTTTCTCATTGCCTATTTGCATCGCTATTTGCTACCTACATTTGTTACTATATCTTCCCATATTCTTTCCAAACCCAAGGATCAACATTTTGTTTCATTTTGTCATTTTGGTCAACTTGGAACATGAAATGTTTCAAAAGCATTTCAAAAAGTTTTGGAAATGCCAAGAAATGTTTGGAAATAAAGACAAAAACCTATCTAAACATATAAGTAAGCCCTAAAACTAAATAACTGAACATGTTTGAGGTCTACACATCCAATCATATGAAAGGCACAAATGTATGATCCAAAGGTAAATGTTGATGTAAACGAAAAAATGTTAAATTCGTGGTGGGGGGGTGGGAATCAACAGTATCAAACACCAGTATTTGTGATATTAAAATCTTCCTCTGAATAAATTTCCAACTAAACAAGGTTTACATGTATGGTAACAACAACAATAACAAAAACAACAACAAAAATTAGAAACAAGCAATGGTCAAAGGAATCCCAAGGTGTGGGGATTCTTTTGGTAACAAGGTTTAAACTATCATATCAATAAGGTTAAGAACAAGAGTCAACAAGAATCATCAAATATTAGAAGATAATGAACAAAGGTTTAAAGGGATAGATTAATAACAGATACACATGTTCTCTTTTCCTTTTTCCTTTTTGATTATTACATACATGTGGCCACAAACTCAAATTCTACAATGTCATTGAAAGTGTATTAAATTTATGTTTGTTAGAATTTCCCATCTTTACCTTCACCTACTCCACTACACACTCCACTTCACCTACCTCCACTTCACCACACACTCCACTTCACCTAACCCACTATCACCTCCACTACACCTACTACCACATTTTCTTCTATATATAGATTGTATAGGAATTGTAATTAATCAATCTTGTAATACAACAATACATCCAAAAACAACAACAAAAATTAGTAACAAGCAGTGGTCAAAGGATCCCAAGGTGTGGGGATTCTTTTGGTAACAAGGTTTAAACTATCATATCAATAAGGTTAAGAACAAGAGTCAACAAGAATCATCAAATATTAGAAGATAATGAACAAAGGTTTAAAGGGATAGATTAATAACAGATACACATGTTCTCTTTTCCTTTTTCCTTTTTGATTATTACATACATGTGGCCACAAACTCAAATTCTACAATGTCATTGAAAGTGTATTAAATTTATGTTAGACTACATAAATAGATGTCAATCTTATACTAGCTCTTCATTTAAAGGATTACATGATGGCATCATCGAAGTAAAGAGTGTTGTTGTAATAACATTTGTCCAAGCATAAATCAACAATCAAGATGGCCATAATGGACTCTACCTATGAAGTAAGTGTGGCAGCTCTAACTCTACAAGTACTTCACGTACAACTTTGCAAAATGGGGAACCCTGAAACGAAAGATGAAATATTACTATTTATAAGTAAAAATTATAGCTACAGTGTTCCACTGAAAAACAGGGAAGCATGACCAATCTTAAGAATACATGTCTAACATAAATTAGGTGCCTTATCTGTACTGAAATATAAACATCAAATATCCATAAGTAACCCACAGTCTAACCTCATATGCCCATATTTCAAGAGGTTCAGGTGGCAGTTTTGATGGAGTAAAAGAACCCCCCTACATAAATAACAACATGAGACTGTGAAAGGCCAGCTTCAATATTTTTTTTGTAAAAATAATGACAAAATTTCATTAATTTCAAATGCTTTTCAGAAAAATATTAGCCTCCTTTAGGAGACCTATTTTTTCAACATTTTGGGAGAATTTTCAAAATTAAGTTCAAAAGTCATTCTACCTTTCCCATGCGACCAATCATGGCAAATCCTTCAGTCAAAGTCTGAAATAGAAGAAGTCAGCATGATATACACATTAAACCTTGAAAGTCTCTGTAGATTGATAAGAACCAACACAAAAGAAGACTAATACTAACCGTTAGTAGACCAAGTGACAACATGATAGGGACATTTCCATCACCTACACAAAGGAACTCAAGGTTGAGTGAAACAGGAACCGAAGTGTTGAATGAATGAAAAAAGAAGCAAAAAATATTAGTAACATCACCCTCGTCTACAAGAAAATTATCACAAATATTAAAAATAAGAAAAAAGAAACACTCCATGGAATGCAAACTGGCATATCTAGCCATACCATATTTCCCAACCAAATATTTAATTATGTCATCTGATTCATACATTGCAACTCCTGTGTTTGGATCAACCTGCAGCAGTGAATAAAAAAAAAAAATTAAAAATAATAATAACTTAGATCGCATGTCAAGAAACCCCTTATTCAATATAAGTTAAATCTAAAGCATTGCATTATATAAAACTAAAGAATTGATGAGAAAATAATTAAAAAGTTAAATAATTAAAAACAAACTTAAGGACGTGTCTTGGCCAAGTAGCAAGCAACCAAGGAGCTTAATGTTAGTTATTTATTTATTTTGATAAATACATATATTTCATTCAAACAGAGGGCACCAAGGGGGTGCACAACCTCTATACAAGAGCAAAATTGTAACAATTGACCATCAAAGCCTACTCCGAAGTCTCTACAAAATCCAAAAATTGGTGATAAATTGTTATGTTTGTAATGAAATTTTATTATGATTTTTTTTAACAATTTTAAGTGGTAGTGTAATGTATATGATCTGTAGACATTTATAATATATTTTACAACTGAGAAAAACAGAGGAAAAAATATATATATATATTTACCCAATCTTTTGTTAGCATATTATATTAGCCGAAAGTGTTAGCATATTATATTAGCCGAAAGTTACACTAGGGTCTGTAATCATTTTATGCCCTCAGGGATCATCTTGTAATTGCCTTTCTTGTAAACCCTAATCTTCATTTATAAATAGGGGGTGATATTCTATCATACCCCAAGCTAGTTACCCAAGCTTCATGGTATCAGAGCTACACCTCTAGGGTTAGGATTCAAAACGTACCTAGTTGGATCATCTGCTGAGTCGATCTTCAGTCACCGTCGTCACTCCGCTTCGTCTTCATCAGCCGATTGGATCATCTGCTTCGTCTTCGTCTTTGTCTCAGCTCCTCAGCTCGTCGATCTCCTCCAGCCGTTCGTCGCTCGTCTTCATCGCCCTCGTCGTCCTCTGTCGTCTTCGTCACTCGTTGTCCTCAGCCTTTGTCTCACTGTGTTTTGTTGCGGGTTCGGTAGTATTGTATCCATGACAGATTCCACCAGTGTGTCCCCTTCTTCTCAAACACCAAAGAGTGAGAGTCCCATTCTACCTACTACCATGACTGAGAACCCCAACCCTAGTCTGAAAATCACCACCTCTCTATTTAATGGTCAGAACTACCTAGCATGGTCTCAAAGTTTGACTATGTTTTTAAAAAGCAGAGGGGTTGGGGTATGTTGATGGCAGGATACAAGCACTCAGTACCACTGACCCGGGTTATGACCAATGGGAGATTACCAACTCTTTGATTATGAGTTGGCTTATCCATTCGATGGTTCCAGAACTTGGTGAGGGCTACTTGTCTATAGAGACTGCCCAGGACGTTTGAGAGGCTGTGGCTGTTACCTATTCCCGCAAAGGAAATTTTTCACAAGCATTTGAGTTGCGCCGCTCTATTGAGAGCTCACTTCAGGGGGAGCAGACTGTTCTTCAGTACTTCACTTTCCTCACCAACTGCTGGAAACGCCTTGACCACCTGGAAGACTATAAGCCCGTTTGCCCTACTGATTCTGTCGGGTACAAGAAGTTCATCGCACGGGAACGGGTCTTTAAATTTTTGGCCAGCCTAAATGTGGAGTATGATCCAGTTAAGGGTCGAGTTCTGAGTATGGACACTCTTCCTTCACTTCAGGAGGCATTTGCCTATGTACAAAATGAGGAGAGTCGCCGGTCTGCTATGATGTCCCCTGTCTCTACTGACCGTTCCGCATTACTGTCTACTCCTCGAGATGGCCTCAGCCTGCCTCCTCCGTCTGCTGCTAAGGAGTCTGTATTCTGTGATTATTGCAAGAAGCCGCGGCATACTCGTGAGACGTGTTGGAAGCTTCATGGGACTCCATCCGGGGGTCGAGGTGATCGGTCTGGTTCTCGAGGAGGTCGGTCAGGCCAATCTAGAGGACATGGTTCCTATTCCCGGGCTCATCAGTCTAGTACCGTTGATACCCTTGATTCTAATTCTACTTCTGTTACCCAAGCTTCTGATATTGAGCTGGAGGATGCTTTGCGCCAATTGTTGGACCACTGATCTTCTACTGCACTCAGTACCGCTTCCTCGTCCTTTGCCCGCTCAGGTAACTTAGCATCTTCTCCTTGTGCTTTCCTGTGTCATACATCTTTGCCTTGGATTATTGATTCTGGTGCCTCAGATCATATGTCTGGCTCCTCTGATCTTTTCTCTGTCTATAAGCCCTCTTCAAGTCAGGACAAAGTTAGGATTGTCGATGGTACTGTTTCTTCCATTTCTGAAAAAGGTTTAGTCCAAGTCACTCCTACCATACATCTATCTTCTGTTCTCCATATTCCCAAGTTTTCTGTTAATCTGTTATCCTTAAGTCGTCTTACCCAGGATTTGAATTGTAGTGTGACGTTTTTTCCTGATCATTGTCTTTTTCAGGACCTTGTCACGGGGAGGACGATTGGCAGTGGTAGTGAAGAAAATGGTCTCTACTTCCTAGATCAACCGGACAAACTTTCTTATTCTTCCACCACGTCTTCTACTACCCCCGCTGATTTATGGCTGTGGCATCGGCATCTTGGGCATCCCTCATTTCATTTACTTAAGCATTTATTTCCTTCTAGTTTTGCAAATCATCATGTGTCTGACTTTCTTTGTGAGTCTTGTCAACTTGGAAAACAACATAGAGCTTCTTTTGCTCCCAGTTTGAATAAAAGCTTCGTTCCTTTTTCATTAATACATTCTGATGTTTGGGGTCCCTCTCGTGTTCTATCTATGAAAGGTCATCGCTGGTTTGTTACATTTATTGATGATTTTTCTCGTGCTACTTGGGTGTATCTCATGAAAGATAAGAGTGAGTTTTTCTCTGTATTTCGCACTTTTCATAAGATGATTTGTACTCAGTTTGGGGCCACTATCAAAATATTTCGTTCTGATAATGGCGGGGAATACATAGATTCTGGGTTAGGACAATATTTCTCTACTCATGGCATTATCCATTAAACCTCTTGCACCAATACCCCTCAACAAAATGGGGTGGCCGAACGCAAGAATCGGCATCTTCTTGACATGGCTCGGTGCATGTGTTTTTTTATGAACGTGCCTCGACCCTATTGGGGCGACGCCGTTCTCACCGCTGCCTATCTTATTAATCGTCTCCCTACCCAAGTCTTGGACAAACAGGCTCCGCTTCACGTCCTCCTCAGTTCTCCGTCCTTGTTTTCTATTCCTCCCAAAATATTTGGTTATGTCTGTTTTGTTCACAATCACTCTCCCTCTCGAGGTAAGTTGGACCCTCGCTCCCTCAAATGTGTTTTCCTTGGTTACTCTCCTACTCAAAAGGAGTATAAATGTTACCACCCTTCCTCCCGTAAGTGG